ATGCCGTTACCACAGCAAATTGAAAACCAAAGGCAGGTAAAATTTTGCTGCCGTAACCACAGCATGTCGGCTGTTATAGCAGGGCTGCCCCTTGTGGTGATAAATATTGGGTAAAGTTGGAAAATTTTTCTTATGTTTTGATGGATTTGGGGTTAGGTTTCAGGTTTAAGTAGATATAATTCTGCATGATGATCTAAAACAGTGGTCGGCAACCTTTTTTAATTGACGGACCGGTTTAGCCTGGCCAAAATTTTGACGAACCACCTTTATATAAACGAACTAAGCTTATGTAATGAATTCAAACGCGTTAGAAAATTTATGTTGACAATACACACAGAAACGAAGGTGATGATATTTATTGCGAGATCGGCATTTGTGCTATTGTTTCCAATCCGGAGATTGTATGAAACATCGATATTTACCATCTTCTTCGAACCGTGGAACACTTTTCAGATTATGAATTTTTCGCAGAACAACAAACGTAAATTTCTAAATTTCGTGGAAACTATCCGAATAAGCAATAATCACTGTCAGGTTTCGCATAGGAATGAAATTACAGCAGGACCAATGACTCAAGTTGTAAAATGACGTAACAAATTCATTACTTCAGAGAACAAAAGTACACTGAAATACCAATGAAAAATATTTTAAACTGGCTGTTCGTAGCTGTTAATAGCAATGCAATTTTAATATGATATATATGAACTTGTTTAGATGAGCACGCATCGTTTATTTTGGTCTGAATTTAGGAATGGCAAACACGTAGTTCTCCTTCAATGGTCGTCTTTCTGTCGTCAAAAATTCTACTTGTACTTCTACTATTAAATGAAAGTAATGAATGAATTTATTGCTTCTTTAGGGGTATTCTACGAGTCGGGTTTTGAATTTTCCCAGCTTCAATCAAATTTTATAATTCACATTACGAAAACGAGTCAATGTTCCCGAAAATGATTAAAAATGGGGTTTGAGCGATGATTAAATTTAAATTGTTACGTTTCCGTTTACATTTAGCTGTTCAGTTATTGTTTCAACTTTCGGAACAACACGGAACACCAGCTTTCAGTCGTGGGGTTTGTAGATATTAGATTGTATATATGTTATCAGGGCCTTGTCTGTTTTTAGGTCATCTTTCTGCGGACCGGTAGTCACCTTTCCGCGGACCGGTGATGGACCGCGGCCCGGTGGTTGCCGACCACTGATCTAAAATATGGTACATGACTTTGTGAATATACCGGTAATAGCGTCATAACCACGGCAAGAGCTGCCATTGGTTCGTTCGTGGCAAATGCTGCCATAAAGTGGTAAGAAATGCGCCTCACCAAACATGCAAATTTTACAAGTGATGGGTTATTCATACTACCTGAACTATTGATAAGATCCCTGTCTTCCTTTTCATTGTCTTCTTCTGACTCACTTTCAGACGATCCACTAGATGTCTCCCCATCATTTTTTCGGGCTTTCTTAGCATTTGACCATTCCTCCTCACTATACATTTGTCGTTTCTTAGTTGCATATTTTTTTGCTGATTCATGTTCTTCTTCTATGTCATGTTCCGCTTCATCAGTTTCTGGCTTGTAGCCAGAATATTCACGCTTGGCTACCCTTCCATGATACCTTTTCATGAATGAGCGACTTAATAGTCCACGCATGTTGCCGTAATTTGGATTTCCATATCGACGATAATAGTGGCTTTTCTTAGCCCCACCTAGTGTTTTTTTATCGTTTACGTTAGCGAGTCTCATTTTCAGTAAAACTTTTCTCTCGCCTTTCAAGAAAGGACGCTTGCATCTTCGTAATTCATTTTTGAAATCTCCATTAACTTTATCCAATTGCTTTTGCTCCGAATCTGTAAAAACAGTGTACAAGTTTTTGACTATTAGAGAGGAGAGGGGGCAACATTTTATTATGACAGTGGGCCAAAAAATTGGTTTTTCATGTACAGTACAAATTAAAAAACTAGCTACAACCAAATTGCCATGGGAAAGGCAAGAGAATGCGGCTATCAGTTAGCCTTCCAGTACCGAAAGCACTGGACAACATGATGAAAGAAAGAAAATGCAGCGACAAGAGCAAAAAACATCATGGATTTTTTACACATGTGAGCGCCTTTTGAAATAAATTAGGATTTTATGCTTCAAGGGGAAAAATCTGAGTATTGATAGCGGCCACACTAAATAGCTTAGCGGGCCGAGTTGTGGCCACAGAATAGCGTTTAACACCCCTGGATTAGGGGTTTTGATATTATTTATTCCGGAAGACTTAGCCAAATTATGATACTAATCCTCTCGCCTAGTCATCGCAGTGTTGGAGAGGCTTGAGTTATAGAATCACGATGAATTCACCATTTATCAAAGCTTCGTAGCGAATTGATTAAGTCATTCACATGAAAGTCTGTAACAGGGATGGCCAATACCGAATAGTTCACTATTTCGAATACATTCGAAATTATTATTTTCGAATATGAAATTTCGAATACTTCGAAAATAAAATCCAGTAATAGAATCTAAGTGTATGAAGGAATTTTCATACAATAAACAATGGAATAACTTCTATCTACAACCTGGCTATATTACCAGGCATTTCATGTTTGCAGATTATTGCGATATATATTTTATATAACATGAGTTGTATTAATTAACAGAATTAAAATAATACGACAAGGCATTTTAAATAGTGGTATCGGTGATGGATTTGAATGCTTGCGCAACACAAAATCATCCTAGTAAAACGCCCATACTTTTAAATACCAACCATTATCCAAATTATTTGTCAAAAAGCGGGATAAAGTATGAGTTCTTTTTCAGACTTGTGACAATTTTTTTGTGAGTACAAAAATACGGATCAAAAAGTAAATATATTCGGGAACTTTACCACACATTTTAAGTCCGCAGATCGCCGTTGTATGTTTGTGTAATAATACTTTTATTATTTTATAAATACGAAAATAGGGTTCAAAAACTATTTATAATCGGGTAGTTTACCACACGTTCAATGTCCACAGATCACCGTTGTATTTTGTAAATACGAAAATAGGAATCAAAAATTAATATCAATCGCGAGTTTGCCTCACAATTTATGTCCACAGAATGCCGTGATATTGTGCCCGAATATAATTAATTTTTGATTCTTATTTTCGTACTCGAAAAAATTGTCACAAGTAGGAAAAATAATTTATACTTTATTACACATTCAAGTCCACAAATCGCCGTTGTATTTTTGAGTTATAATAGTTTTAATATTTTGTAAATACGAATCCGAAATTAATTATAATTGGGCAGTTTACCACACATTTCATGCCCACAAATACCCGTGGTATTTGGTATTAATACTTTCATTATCGATACTTTTGACCATCATTATCAAAATTATTTTCCAGAAAGCGGGTGAAAGTATTTTTCTAATAAATCAACTTGTTTCCCAACTTGTGACAATTTATTGGATATCGTAACAATTACGGCTATAAATACCGTATTTCCCGGCTAATAAGCCTACATGGCAAATAGGACGATGTATATTTTTAGCACTCAAAAAAGGGGGTTTCCCATATAGGCCTCCAAGAAGACGGGTAGAAAAATTATTCCCTGTTGTTCAGTTATGCTAATATGCGCTAATAATAATGTTTAGAACCAGATCACGTTTGTTTAGTAGAATCATACTCACAGAATTAACTATTTTTAACAATAAAGCGGTAATTTTAAGTTAAAAATCACAATCATTTTGAACAATCTATAATTTTATAGGGTCAGAACAGAACCAGATCATGTTTGTTTGGTAGAACCATACTCACGGAATTAACTATTCTCAACAACGAAGCGGTAAATTTAAATTATAAAGCGGCAATCATTTTGGACAACCTATCAACCCGAATGTTGAAATAATTTTGGAATGTGATAAGTACCACACGGTACGTCCACGGGTTATTTCACAGCTGTGTTTCATGTCCCTGTCGTTTTCTGCTGAATCGGCAAAACCAAAGGGTCATAAATCACGTACTTTATCTTGGTGGCGGTGGCCGTGTTTTCTCTTTTAAGTAACGATAACCGGCCTACGATTAAATATCATGATTGGCAGACCCATAAGAACCAAATATAAGGTTTAACACAAATTATGCTTGAGAAGACTAATGCGAAAAATAAGCAGGCCACATAGAAATAAAATAAACATGCTTTCTCAATAAGGCGCCCCTCCCCCAAAAAAATCAAGCCAAAATTGGGTCTAGAAAAGCGACTTATTAGCCGGGAAATACGGTGATTGTCGATTTTTCGACTAATGGAAATGATTTTGTGAATTAAAAGACGAATGTCGGCAATGTCCACCAACGCAAACGTGCAAATGTGTCGCAACACTATGCGACGTACATTCGCGCTGAATATAAATAATCAAAATGCTGACTCATCGTCATGTAATACGTGAGAAAGCGTAAAAAGTCGTTTGAAGATTCCGGTAAAACGAAACACCGTGTTTACGGCGAAAAGTGACTACTATTCGTAATTATTCGGAAATGAGCCGAAAAGGTATTCGAATACCTTGATATTCGAATAATTTCGAATATTCGATTCGTTTTGGACAACCCTGGTCTGTAACTTTGTTCCGAGATCAGTCATCTTAAGAGCGGGTTCGGTTCGCTTGACCATGCAAATTTCGACGCTCCGGAAGTATGTGCACCGAGATGGCGCACAACCTGAGCCCTAACCTGGTACATATACTATGTTCAGGTTGAGCGCCATCTTGGTGCACATACTTTGGGAGCACCCAAATTTCTTAATAACCGTAGTGTTCACCTTTTTCAGTGTTCCCCTCATCAACTTCCATTTCTTCATCGGTTTCCATTAAGTCTAAGTCATCATCTTCATCTTTAGCTTCTCCCTTCGTTTCAGAACCCTCCTGTGTAAGAATAAGAATTTATATTTATTTTTGTGAAAATATTTTTATGTTTTCAAAGAGAATTGCTTGAAGCAACGCCATCAGGTGCACTTGATCAAAAATAAAGAATCTTCATTTCTGAATACGCTAACAGAAGACCACTGAATACCCAGTGCAACTGAAATGATATATAAACAGGGCGATTCTATGTGTAAAGGGTGAATGAAACTAGGCCGACTTAAGTAAATACTGCGAGAAAACAGTTGCGCTTGCAAGAAATAAATTTCACCTAATTCAATAGAAGTAACATGCAGTAACTAAGAAGCAAAGAAAATTAGGACCTCCTGAAGTATGTGCACCAAGATGGCGCACAACCTGAACTCAGGTTGTGTACCAGGTTAGGGTTCAGGTTGTGCGACATCTTGGTGCGCATACTTCAGGAGTACCAAAAATTCATTATTTTTGAGAAAACTCACAAATGAGCACCAAAATTCCAGTTACCAGAACTACAGCAGATCCTCGCATATGAGTCCACCCCCTAAAAACGGTGAATTTATAGAAATTCACATATAAGCCGACCCTACAAATCGTAACACCTATTACAGTAATTGGTTGCAGAAGAGAATTAAATAAAATGATAATCATTATTATTATGTTTCACTGTTATTAATAACAGTGGGAAGTGTCTCGAAATCCCTCAAATTCATCCTCATTATCACTGTCAAACTTCTCAAACTCGTTTGAGTGCGGCCAGAGTTATGCGCACAAAAGCCAACCCCTTACATTTAAAATCGACTTGAATGCGGAGATATGCCATTCAAGTGAATACAAACAGGAAAACAGCTACGGAGGTAGTGTTGTGGATTCTGCATAACTGAAGTTTATAGATTTCATTTTTATCCTGGGCAAAGAAAATCCAATGACATGGATTTAATATAGTCATGCGTTTGGTTACAAGTCCAGGTCAGGTATTTGGAGAGTTAAACAGTCACTTGTTTTATATGAATATCCTTGTATAGTGGAATGGGCATTTCAAATCGAATATTCGAATCGAATAGTAAATTATTCGAATCGGTTTAGAGCATATTTTCGAATCACCGCCATCTTGTTTTACTCTTTCCGCCAATGGTCGAGGTAAATTTCTCAATTTTTTTTCAACATAATTCTGACTTATGACTCTTTTCTGTATTGAGGTATTGATGAAAACGTGTTTTTTTTATTGTCAGTGATGTATTCTATGTTTTCGGTAATTTATGTGTCTGGAGGACTTAAAATACTAAGAAAGTTACATACAATTTCATACCTTCCAAGTATTCGAGATTTGATTCGAAAAAGTTATTCGATTCGATACTGAAATCATCAGGTATTCGAAATAGCCCAGGCCTAATAGTGGAGAAAGCTACAACCATTCACTGGTTGAGTGAACCACAATGAAGGCTAGCAATCTCCAAGCACATGACTATCTACATAGGATACAAGCTCGCAAATCAGGGACTAAAACAATTAAGATACAGACGAGAATATCGGTCGGAGACCGAAGACTTGTCGATCGAAACTTAGGTTTCGATTCATGACTCTATAGTGACACCACGTGTCCCATCACTAATTAATTAATAACTCGCTAATTATACGACATAATTCATCCAAAATCAATAGGCTTTTGGTCCGAGATATGATGAATGCACATGCAAAATTTGGAGCAGATTAAACCACGCCTTCGTGAGATATCGCGTGCATCTAACAGACAAACAGACAGACAAATACCTAACAACACACTTACCGATCTAAAGATCGATAAGTAATAAATTGAAATAAAAAGAACTTTGGTTCGATCATCTGCGTCTGAGTCGGAAAACGAGTCAATCACTGATTTACATCTCACTGACAGTTAGATGAGTCTGAGTTCTTTTATTTGTGTGAATCGGGTCACTTCAAGTCTTTACAATGGTGACTTAAGTCAAGCCAACACCTGTAGCAGTCAAAAGTATAGCAATCCTTTTACACTTACTTATCCCCACCAGATTCGAACTAGCAGATCGCTAATTTTGAAATGTCCAAGATACAAATAAAATAACGGCAAACTTACCTTAGTTTTATCAGACTCATTAGCTCCATCTTGTGATTTTGTTCTCGATTTATAAGGTTTTGTCATTTTTAATAAAGCAGAGGCCGCAGATTCAGTATCTTTCCAAACAACATTACACGACGTGTCATCAATCCACTCGATGTGGGAGGGAAAATGGTCGCTGAAAAAACTGAAAATATCCTCCGTACTCATGTCATCAAGTCCTCGAAGATGAATGGCGTCGAGTCTGATTGACTAAAAGAGAAAATGATGAAAATATTTATAAGAAATGATAGGAATATTTTTTATAATATAAAATTTCAACTCCAAACAAGCTACCCAGTTTATTTTAAACTCCAAGTGAGTTGGTGTGCATGGGGTCGAGTCTTATGCCTGAATTACGACTACCGTATATGGTCGTTTTACCGCCCGTTCTTGATTAAGGGTGTGAACAGAACATAAAAATAAATAAGGGCCGCCGATGTAGAAGCTGATTTTTCAGTGGTAGAGAACAATAGGAAATAAGAAGCGCTTTTGTCAGAACGCTGTTGAATTTTAAGCGCCGGTAGATAACACTCACGCCTTAGGCGTCCAAGTACATAACAAATAGCATTGATACGTAACACCATGGTTCTCAAACTGGGCATCGCGAAGCCCAAATGCGTCGTTTCAATATTGATAGGGCGTCGCAAAACTTTCCTCCTTTTGCGGATTTGTACCTGCTGTGCGTAGAAAAAGTCAAAGTTTTCGTTATTCTTGTTTAAATCCTATTTGAGAACTGGACACAACAATAATTTATATTAATTATTGTAACGATCGAAAATAACAAGCGCCTGTGCTTGAATAAGGGCCGGTTTGAATAAGGGCCCGGCTAGTGAGTTGGTTGAAAAAAATATGGGCCCGAGCTACAAAACGAGCAAATACGGTATGTACAACAAGCAGTCATTGCCATTTTTGCAAAAACAAGAATATTTCTGGTTTAGCATTGCTTACCCAAATAATTGCACTCTGGTTAACGTGGACGTAACGTAGTCAGACCTTTGATTTCAAACAATAACATCAAAATAGTTACGCCAGTGCTTCCTAACCTTCATTACTTATCGATTTTAATCGGTAAGTATGTTGATAGGTATTCGTCTGTCTGTTTGTCTGTTAGATGCACATGATATCTCACGAAAGCGAGATTGAATCTGCTCCAGATTTTGCATGTGCATTCATCTTATCTCGGACCAGAAGCCTATTGATTTTGAGCGAATTATGTCGTATAATTAGTGAGTTATTGATTAATTAGTGATGGGACACAAGGTGTCACTATGGAGTAAGATCGCTGTTTTGGGGATCCCCTAACTTTCGATCGATAAGTCTTCGGTCTCTGACCGATATTCTCGTTGTTGTATTAGTTCAATTCCTATTTTTTATCTATCTATTTCTCCCTCAGTCTGCATAAAAACTAGCTTCTCAAATTTGATCATTTCAAGGGTCCTTCGTGTGTGGTACAGAGTGTGGACGTGTGGACAACCCACAGACTAGCCTTTCTGCTGCTTGAATGATCCATAATGTGTGCATATACAAGTATTACATTAATACTAAAGGAATAAAGAACGAGTATATCTGTCGGAGATCGAAGACTTATCAATCGAAATTGCGGTTTCCATTTATGACTCTATAGTGACACCGCGTGTCCCATCACTAATTAATTAATAACTCGCTAATTATACTACATAATCCATCCAAAATCAATAGGCTTCCGGCCCGAGATATGATGAATGCACATGCAAAATTTGGAGCAGATTCAACCACGCCTTCGTAAGATAACGCGTGCATTTAACAGACAGACAGACAAATACCTATCAACATACTTACCGATCTGAAGATCGATAAGTAAAAAAGAATGATAACACTACATTCAAATATAAAGTTGAATTCCCCTCTTGAACTGTTAAATTCCCTCTGGTTGGGAGACACTGTTCTTGCCAATTGTATTTAAGCATTTTACCTTTAAAATATCTCCTTCTTCATTCATTTTCTCAATTTTCGCGATGAGATTTTTTACGGCGTCTAACTCATTATCCTCAGGTTCAATCTCTCCTCGTAACAACGGAGATTGGAACCTTTGGGCACGAGTTTGCTTTCGAAGTTTGGCTTCCTCAGCTGTCAGACCCATTTCTTTCAATAATTTGTTTTCATAGATCTTTGTGTGAGGGAATGACTTTGTTTCAAGCTGCAAATGAGAGTAAATGAAATGAATTGTTTTTTAGTAGAAAATAAGAAATAAAATGTAGCACACACACCCTCATGGTCAAAGACAATTGATGGAGAAAGTTGCAAGCAACCACAGGATTTATAAAATCTACACATATTCACTTTAAGAAGACTCACCCCCGAACAAAAGTTCTTAGTGAAATATTTTTTAAAAGAAGTTGCTCAGACGCCAAGAAGTACTAAAACCACATAGAAATTAGGGTGTTAGATTTACTTTGAACTTAAGAAGACTCATCTTACATCTATGAGAAGAGTTATGTGGACCATTAAACTGCTAAGAACCACTTAAATTATATAGAATCACATACAAGCCTGCTCTTTACCCCAACGTTACCTTGAACTCTACAGAATCTTTTTCCTCTTTGACCTCTGTAACTTCCTCATCTTCTTCCTGGAATTCAACAATGGGTTCATCGCCCTGATTTTCATCTTGGTCTACAGATATTGTAAGATTTGGAACTAACGTATTGGACGCTTTTACTTCTATAACTTCCACCTCAGCGTCCGACATTTAATATTTTTAATCAAAAATTTTTTTGATGTTTATTTCACTACAGGCAAAAAATACAATGTCATTAAATTGATTAATTCTTCGATTGCTCACATACGGAAAATGAACAGTACAGTTCGGAAAAGCAAATCCTGGCGCAATAAAATTTGATTTTATTTAACAATAAATTACATCAAAAAAGGTTTCAAAATATCTAGAATTGAATGTGTGTGAAACACAACTGTTCTTTTGGGAATACAGGGTGTTCAAAAAATTTCGCCTGATTTAATAGTAATAGCAATCAAAAATTTCTTTGTCTCTGTTTATTAAGTTCTTAATGTGCTTGTAGTTCTTATTTATCAATTATCATACAATAAAATTTATTAAACTTACAATTGTTATTACTGTAAAATCAGGCAAAAATTTATTGGATGCACTGTATAAAAGATTATGTGACTGGATGTCTGATATTTGAGAATCGTGCTTCACGACTCGACAGTATTTAAATAGATTTTATTTAACATTTTGTGACAAGTTCTAAACCAGCAATTCGTAACGGGGGCCACAGCGCAGTTTTAGGGGGGTAACGCTAGGCGCAAAACAGATTTCACTTTTTCCCTTCACAAGAAACATTCTTCCCCATTCTTCCTAGTTTCATTGCTTTGATGGGGTCATTTCAGAGTGTTTTCTCTTTGTTGAGCATGAATTGTTTGAACATAATGGGATTTGAAATCAATGAAAATAACAATATAAATACAGAAATACCAATGTAATGATAAACAAGGGGACATGAACTATAAATGGTTGGGAACCGCGGTTTTAAACCAAAACGTAACATAAAGGCACAAAAGTAATTTTTAGGAAATAAATTAATATCCTGTGACACACCGAAAATTTTCTCAAGTTGCACACTTGGTCATGCATGAATGTTTCAAACGTATTCAAATAAATTAGCATATATCGACACCTCAAAACCAAACAGTGCTAAGTTCACTTTTACAAAAAATGACATTTTTCAATTGCTGATTTTCCTGGACTTAGCTCTACATTTTGGTCTATTTGCCTTATCTCTAGGTGCTCTAGAATTCTAGATCTCAAGACAGCTATGGACATAACCCTGCTTTTTTTAGGGCATTTGAGAACTAAACAGAGCTGTGTCTACTATAGTGGACTTAGCTCTGGATAACTGCATTGTAAGTTGGGGCTAAGTCCGTTTTTTGGACATAGCTCCTCTCAAAAAATATAATACAAAGCGCTAAGTCCATACCAGCCTCTATAATAACATAATAAAGGGGCCCTGAGTCCAATAAAATTGTTTCTGGTCCAGAAAATTGAGAGCCATAAAGGGTTAAGGGTCTAGTTTCTCAAAACTAGAAAAATGGACTTAGCCCAATTTGGATTTCATGCGTCGATATAATGAAACACTTTTTGTAAGGTCAAGGAAGGCAAACAGCCTTCCCAATTTTTTGTAATCGTATCGTCAAAAAATCGTATTTTAAATTGCTTCTCATAAAATAAATCAGAAAAATCGTTTGACGTATTGATTTTATATCACCACTGTGACTGAATTGACTAGTATGATGCCTAGCAACTAGCGAAGTTGAAGATGTGATGGGCAGTCTGAATTGTTACCTGGATTTCTATCGTTTTGGTCGGGATTATATGCTAACAATATAGGCATGATAGAAAACTAAAAATCGAATGCGGATTCCATTAGCCTAGGTTGGCAATGCCTGATAACTATGTGTTTACACAATAGAAGTGCTTGTTTTGTATTGCGCTGTTAATCTATTCTTGATCCTATTGTGGCCCGCGGGCCGCGACCAATGCCAGTATAATTTTGTGGCCCGCGTAGCCCACAACCTTGGACCACCCTGCTGTTACAGTCAAACTTGGTAATTCAAAATCTCCCTCCCCGAGAATTCCTGGTCACCCCCCGTCGGTCGTTCATAAAAGTTTTATCCTTCTTGTTCATAGTTTTCTGTTTTCATGTCATTCAGTCCGAGTTCCTCATTTTGATCGTACGTCCGTTCATAAAGTTCGATTTTCATTTCTGGGTCATCTTCTGGAGCGTAGACATTCTGTAGATATGAGTTACCTGCTGGGTCATCCATTATGAATGTAAAATTCGATTTCCCGATTTTCAGGCCCTCTAATTTTTCTCCGAACGTTGTGATATTTTTTCTCATGTCGGCATCCACACTATCTCCCGCTGTAAAAGGGTTTTTCTTAACGACAAGGTCCCTGATATCGTCCAGTAAGCCTTCCAAAGTCGTGAATTTTCCTGCTATCGCGTGACCCCCAATTTCCATATCAATTTCTGGGATACGCACCGAGCATGTTTCAGATTTGAGTAAATCACGATTCATATCTGAAGCATCAGTAACGTTCAAAGTTATCTTTTTCCCTTTTTCTTCAAATCCTGTGCCAGATTTGACTTCATTTGTACGCTCTCCACATGCGTCACACGATGTCGCCATTAGGATAATTTCTTTGAAGTGGGGGATGTCTACCATCTTCATATTTGTATCCACTGGTGCGTTGCAATTCGGACAATTTGTTTTAAATTGCATAACCTCTCCTGGCGCAGGGTTATCAGTCTCTTCAGATTCGTTATTTCCATCAGCGGGGGCAGCAGAGATCCCAAGAGCTTCATTTTGTTGTTTCGTACGCTCAAAATGTGAAATTATCATCTGCGGGTCTGGATTTGGTGCGTTGTAATTTTCAATGTGACAATTTCCCGCTGGATCTTCAAGAATCATCTTAAATGGTTTTTCTCGTGTTTGAAGTTCTTTTAATTTTTTAACAAAAGCATCAATTTTTTCAGCAGTTGCGGGATCCATGATGCGCCTAACTGGTTGTTCTTGTTCTAACCCACGTACAGCCCGATCGATCACCCCTTCGATTGTCGTTAAAATACCTTTTTGCGACTCGGGAGGTATTTCGAAATCAATTTCTGGAATTTTTATCGTAGTGGACTCCGTTTTCACGACTCGCCGATTGAGGTCACGCTGTGGATCAACGTTGAATGACATTTTTACCCCAAATTCTTGAATAGGATCCGCCGATTGTAAGTCAGTATCTGAATGACCGCAATGATCGCACGAAAACGAACTAACGACTAGATCCTTGAAGAACGGAATTTTGGTGAGGAGTAAGCGCGTTGTTCCTTGCTGGTGACAATACATACACAAACTCTGGATTTCTGTTGTTTCCAATTCGTCGTGGTCAGACTGAAATAAGGGTTTATTTGTCTCGGTCTTTTTGGGCTCTGAAGCCATATTTTTTTGATGCAAGATTGTTGAATAAATAAAGTTAAAGAAAATCTATCTTATTAATATAGTCCTTTGAAAATATGAAAAAATGAATGTTATGCTATGGCAGTATGGCACACTTAACAAATCGGGTGAAATTGTCCCGCTTCAGAGAAACCCATTTTACAGATGATCAGACACCCCTCCTTTGGGAGACCTCTAGACATTGTCGTCCCTCAATATCGAAAATAATACAGTATAATGAAGTTGCGCAAAATAGTACAAAAAATCACAATCTAGTAACGTCATCATTGAAATCCTTGGGAAAAAATAATCCGAATTATCAAATGAAAAAAAAATTTTACTGTAGCATTCGAGAGTTTTTAGCAAAAAACGGCAATTTTGGTCATGTGACGGCCGCGATTAATTTAGGTTATTATGGCGTTAGGTTATTATAATTTAGGTTAAGCATGGCGCGATATGAAGCATTTGACGTGGTCTCAGACGTCCCTCGTTTGTGAGATACAAAGAGTATTGTTTTATTTAGCCAAATGGAAGTCAATTCTTGGAATTTGGATAGTGTGTTGTACTGTATGGTGAGGAGTGAGAAACCCTAGACCCTTGAGTCATGCCACGTCGCAGCTCACGCAAGCAAAACAATCGCTGAGTTACCGTATGTCTCAATCATCGACTTTGGTAAGTTCGGTGGTGTGGCGCATCGCGCTACGAATACTCTCACAATCGCATCTCTCATTACCTTGTGTAGAACATAGGCTGGTGCTGGTTACTGTCGATCGGACGAAAGCCCCTACGGCGGCCATATGATTAAGCGATCTGATCTCTCTTAATAAAACATGTATATCCGGGTTTAGTGTAGTTTCGTACCTAAATTACCTCTAGTGGGCGTAGCATAACAGTTTTTGCATAGGTTAATCCTAACCCCCACCTGACCGTGGCATCCAAAAATTACGTCACTACGACGTCACCGTGACATAATGGAGCCCTTCAAACTATACGAACTGTCATCCAAGACGGTCAGACGAGAACCCGAAATCGAACAGCTATTTCTGGTCTCAACGATCCCGATATGAGAAAGATCGCTGTCGTTAGCGAGTTCTTTATCGTCGGCGCAAATGCCTTCTCGGGTAATCGTAGTTATACTTCGGCAACTCTGTGACGTGATTGTGAGGTCGCAGTGACGTAATTTTTTGGGATGACGTAGTCAGGTGGGGGTTAGGATTGACATGTCAAAAAAATTGTTATGCTACGCCCATTAGAAGTACGTTAGGTACGAAACTACACAAGACCCGTATATCCTGCCCTATTAATTTTCATTTAAATGACTCAAGCTCACAACATTTGTTTTTGAACTTAGAGTAGAAAAATTAGACTACAGACAATTCTCATGCCTTAAAACAGGGGTGTGCAAACTGCAGCCCCCAAGAAAAAATTGCGCAGCCAGCGGAAAAGTGTCAATTTTGAATAGTGCGCCCGCAAAATGAGTTTTTAGTTCAGTTAACCTGGTAGTCTACTAGTCCAGCGGTTCCCAAACTATGGGTTGCGACCGACTGGTGGGTCGCAAGAGGAATCTCAGTGGGTCGTGAAAAGATGTAGAAAGCTTTGATCAATTATACTGGTTATTAGAATCGGTGGCAAAAAAAATTTAAAAGCAAATTTCGAAATAAACGACAACTTTTTAATTTTTTACGTCTAAAACTATCTGAAATTGAAATAAATGTCAAGTCTAATATGGAAAATAAGCTCATCTTTCTCAATAGCTTCACTAGAAATTCAATTTGAGAAAATAAACTTGTTTCTTCCATCAATGTTTTATTAATTTATTAAAGGTAAATGGATCGCCATAAGCTGTAGTAAAAAATAGTGTGTCCCAACTCTAAAAAGTTTGGGAACCACTACTATACTAGTCTATGCGTGAGCAGTCCCAATTTTTTTTTGCGTCGCAAAGCCTGTACCAGCCTGAGTGCTACTATCATATCAGCAAAACTAGCTAGCAAAATATCCCATGTTAAAAAATTTGTTTCTCACTGAATTCATTCAAGTCGGCAGATCGGTGTGACAATAAATTTGAATAGCAGTTTTTTTCATAAGTTTATGCGTTTATCTCACCATTTCTGCAAAGACCCATAATAATGTCGAAGATCAATAACAAAAAAAAACTTAATCTTGAATAAAGGTACCGCCCGCGGCTTCAGACTGTCCTATAAAAAGCTGTCAACTGCAGTCATGCAAGGGTAGGTAGCACTTTACGGTACTTGTCAGCATAGGAAATAAACGTCCAAACTAAACGAAATTTACCTGATCAAGTTTTTTTTTTAAATGGATTCGCAATGTTAAATATTCAAGAAGTAAATAATAGATACCGCCATACCGATAAATTAAATATAAATAAAGACATGTTGTGTACCACAAGTGAACAAACATATATATCAGTAATATCAAGATAATTCCATCAGATATAATATTCCATATAATCCAGGGAGTTCCAATAATTCCAAGTTTCACGATTTTACTAATACTACCAAACCTGAAAACGCTGAAATGTGTGAAGTCATACATTTTGACGACTGCCAACAAAACACATGGGAAATTTACAGCAAATTCGCCAAAATTCTTGGATATGTGCGCCACCCTGCGGATGTCATGATCAGTAAAATCACTCCATCTACATCCTCGAGATGGTGCCAATGAGCACTATTTTCACCAAATTTTATTGTATTGAGCAACGTTGACTCAACGTTATCCATTAGACTTGGTTCGTTTAGCTGTGATATATCAGGATATTGGAATTACTATAACAACAATGTCTTCAAGATGGATGGCTGTTTTACAACAGAGGCAAAGAGATCTTGAGAAAGTGAGTTCGATATAAAATAAGTTCATGGGCTAGCTTGCTCTTTCTCTGTTTTTTTTTGCAGTCCAGCAGTCAGGAATGCAATAGCCTAATTGTTTTCTTACGGTACTTTCTTTCAAGTCAACCTTCCAAACTTAAACTTTCCGGGATAAATATGTGACTATTTTTTTTCCATCTTCTTACTGTTAACATTTTTTTGTGAATTCAGTATTCAATTTGGCAAAGTCATTAATGTACATTTATAGTCTATGGCAGCGGTTCCACTGGTGGGTCACAAAAGGAATCTTAGCGGGTCGTGAGAAGATGTAGAAAGCTTTGATTTATTATACTGGTTATTAGGATCGGTGACGACTCGAATACGTAAATCTTCAAAAAAACAAAAGAAATTAAATTGAAATCTTCTAATCTGTGAAAGTTTCCTTTTACCAATCTTCTCAAAGGAACAAAAACTTGCTACACAAAAAATGACCATTTGCCTTTTTACGCATAGCAGTTTTGTACACTGTACAGCACTTCTTATCGTGTTTCCCCGAAATTTAGACAGGATGGTGTGGCCAAACTTTTTTCGGTGCTCCCGAAGTATGCGAACCAAGATGGCGGACATCGGAACGTAACATGGGTAACAGGTTAGGGTTAGGCGATAATTTTTTTCCAATTTTCCTTATTTTAGTCCTATTATCAGTTCGAAGAATAGCCAAGAGCCTCCCGTAGTATTTATGCCTAAAATTATGGCCTAACCCTAACCTAGTACACATATTACATTCCGATGTCCGCCATCTTGGTTCGCATACTTCGGGAGCCCCCTTTTTTCTTTGTCTAGTTTTTTTTTGGATTCCTATGTTATACCGGTATATCTTGGATTTCTCACTTTTACCATTTCTAATTTTATTATATCTGTGTGATTGTATATGTACAATATGTATGTGATTTAATTTGATATTTCAGGTGAATGAACAGGTACCACTTCTTTTGGCAAGACCTTTCAACCGGTTCCATTTATTTTATTGCCTTGTAAATAAACTGTTTTCATTCATAGTTTTTCATATCGAGTTTTGAGCCTTTGGTCCAGTAACCAAGTCTATCATCTGTAACCCACTCAGAAAAGTAATTGCCCACCTCTGTTTCAGACCAATGCAACATGTCAAAAATGCCTACAAAAAGGTCATTGGACATACGAGTGTAAAAACAAGAGAAAATATGTTGAAAGAACGTCGAGAACTAAAGAATTGAATAAATCTATCAAAGAAAATAAAAAGAAAGAATTGAGAAAGGTATGCATTTTAACCCAATTCTGAAACTGGTGTCGAAGGGTTCCATTTTGTTTGGGGGCGATGGTTTCGTTTCGTCATAACTCCCATTTAAAATATAAAAAAAGCATTCTTCTGTATCATATATTTAACTGCTCTTTAGACCCTCGAGACCATTTAGAACCCATGTCTCTCGGCCTCAGCCGAACCCGCTGACTGCGACCCAGTCATGACTGAGGCAGCATAGGTAACAAGATTTCGGTTGAACTTTTCAAAAATGTGATTTTGTCTTCATGTTTTTCAAGTCTCAATCTCTAAAACAACCTTGTCCTTATCAAGCTTTACCATTGCTGTCTATACCTTTAAAAATTAACCCTTTCAACACTTTTAGACGAAACAGAAGCGAAGAAGGAAGAATTCTACGGGATCTTCATCCACTAGTAGCACTAGTAGTTCATCTTCGAGTTCCTCAAGTAGCAGCGATTCCTCCTCATCAAGCTCAGATTCTAGCTCTTCATCATCGAGTGATTCAGAGAATGAAGGAGGTTAGTTTTTTTAAATTTTTTTACGAGTTGTTCACACCCCACTCTGAGCAAGGCTTTGCATCGTAGCTAGAGTTAGGGATGGGCAATGTAGAATAATTTACTATTCCTGAACATTCTAGAGCAGTTGTACTCAACCGCCGGATTCTGTAATCAATACTCAATAGGCCTATAATTTAGCGAGGTTTGATAGTAAAATTGAGGCAAACAAACAGCAAAGTTCATTCAAAAGAAATCTAGCAGTGAACACCAAGTTAGTGGTGTTGACAAGACAGAGGTCGATTTCCAGATGGCAGAGAAACAACTGTGGCCTCAAAACATCTGGCCCCTGTCGGTTACGAAATTTCGATGAATAGGCAAGGGACAGACAATACCAACCATGAAACACCATTGCACGTTAGAGACGAGTCTTCGATTCAACCTATGTCTCCATCTATCAATCAAGGAAACAATAAAACTCAAACGCAAGAAGATATTGTTGAAAATAATATCGTCTCTAGATCTCCATCGCCTCCAGTTCTAAGGAGATCAACCAGGGAACGCCGAACCGTAGACAGACTAAATCTCTAAAGTGGCGGTGAATGTGATAACTTGGAAATGCAACTCAATGTATCTATTTGTTTATACAGCTGCAGTCAAGCGATGATTGCTGTGGCGTTTTAAATAAGACAACAATCATTGCTGTGCTGTAGATGTAGTGTGTTAATTCTTTCAACTTTATTCATTTAACTATTGAGCCGCTTACTGTTAGCATCAGCAATTCGATACGTATTTGTTTTCTTGTTTAATAACATTTGCTTGTGTTATATTATTTTAGATTCATTCTAAGAGTGCTTTAAATTTAAGTTGAATAAAGCCTTATATCAAGGTACTATATTTCTCATTCATTACAGCTTTGTTGCCAAAAACAAATCGAATCGATTCAAAAATTTGATTGTGATAAAAGACGTCATAATTTTGTAACCAAAACATACCCAACATAAAGTCCCCTCACACATTCAATTTTGTTATTAAGTTAGTTCTCAATATATCTCATCCAGGTTTGTTGTTCAATTATTCAAGTATTTTTACTTCATTAATACATCTGTGAGGGCCAAAACAATATATGGTATCATTGAATTACCTTTGCAATTTTAAAAAATTGGCTTCTTATTGTATACCCCTGAGTATTTGTAATCAAAATAGGAAAATTTCATTTCGGAGCTAGCCCCCCCCGAGTCAAATTTTTTTACGCTTTACAGACTCAGTTAAAATTATTTTTGATGTCTATTTTTGGCAGATGCAGACAAATCCTCATCTGGAACTGAAGATTCCTCCCCTGACAGTTCATCAGATGATGATAATGCAAAAGTAAAAATTGCTGTCGCACCAAAAGATGAAAAAGCGAAAAATAAGAAAGCCGAGTCATCATCTTCAAGTTCAAGCTCATCTTCAGACAGCGACTGAATAAATTTGAACGATCTTGAGAAAAAAAATTTGAGACACGTCTTGCACACGATGGCGCCAAAGAAGGGTGTCCAACTTCAAGTGTCTTTCAGGGGGAGAGGAAAGCCTATATGTGGCTTTATCATATTTTTTTATATTATAAAACTATTGCTCATCCTCAGACAGTGACTGAACAAATTTGAACGATTTCAAAAAAATTTGGAATGTGTCTTGCACACGATGGCGCTAAAAAGAGTGTTCCAGTGCTCCAGGCATCTCTCTGGGGGGGAGGGGAGCCCCAAATACGGCTTCACCAGTCTTTAAATCATGAATTTATTGTTCTTCTTACTTTTTATTATTTGTAATTCATGTATTAAATATTGTTCTTATTGAAATATCAAGAGATGATTCATTAGACGAAGTAGGAAATGATTCGTTCTAAAAGTCACATAAAACTGACATTTATGACACATGGATAATGCTATTGCCCATATGTAACCTACCCAGATCAGGCATATCCTAATATAGGTATCATATACCATCTACTGTACTGTTGGATCTCATCTCTAGAGTAAGAGCGTTACTTTCTGCAGAACAAAATACTCTTTCGAACAAGTGGTCTTTCGCCCCAATGCTCCATGAAATGGAAAAGCCTTGATTTTAGTGAACAGTTTTTTAATTATTAGCTTCATTTTGTCATTAATGCACTCACTACAAATGCGCAGCGCTTAAAATGAATGGGCAGTTTCGGTATCGCGCTGCCGCTATACATCCACACTTGTTTGCGGGCCTCCACTATCAGCGAAGATCCTGCGCTTGTTATGGATGGCAATCAAGAAAACACATCCAATACCGACACAACATCTCTACCTTTGCGAGGAAGAGAGAAGTCAATATGACTGATATAATGCATGTTCAAAACTGTTTACCTCTTATTATTTCTATTTCATTTAACAAACTTTGTTTTTAATAAAATAATAATTCATTTTCCTTGAAAGTGTCGCAATGAATAGGACCTGAATTGTTGTTCTCAAAATGAAAGGTGTTATGTTATGGAAAAATAGCCCACAACTTTTGAATAACTGCACAAAATGCACAGACTTGGAAATGAATACGGTCCCAACCTGACAAACTAAAAACATCTATGACCAAAGGATGAACCCACATACAGTGCCAAAAGAGGTTTTATAATCAATTCTGTTAAAAATAGGTAAACCATTTCAAGAAGAACTGAAGAGCGCTCCCATAGATGGCGGAAACCGGAACGTAGTATTTGTACCAGTTTAGGGTTAGGCCATAATTTTATTTCAATTTTCTTTATTCTATTTGTATTACGAGGACTCCCGTAGTATTTGTTTCGATTGGTAAGTTAAGTTCAAGCAGAGGTTTCAGTGTTAAATACTATGTTGCAGTTCCCGAATTGGAAGCGGATTGTTCTCTTCACCAATACATTTTTTATATAATATATGACGAACAATAAATTTGAATAGAGGATTTTTATATTTATTCCAGTGAAAGGGGAAGTTGATGAGACCTGTTATTTGCTTTGGATACATGGACTTGATTCTTCAGACAATGAGCGCGTCAACACCAGTTATAATCCAAGAAAGTACAATAACCCACGAGGGGCGGTGCTTAATACTCATGAGGGAGGCTTATTCATTTTACAGCTTAATGAAAGGTTTCCAAAACTGAGTCCAAGAAGAAAAGTTTTCACTAGGCACCATACTTGATGACTACATGAGGATAGGATTTACATAATTATCATGGAGGAGAGGGAAGCCGATAAGACGGCTCAATCATATGGCGAACCACGATTCTCGTCTGGTTTCCAGTCCATGTCGATGGGATTAGTTAGCCAGTCCTTTGTTTTCGGAAGCATGGACTTGATGGTGGAGGAAGCCGTAACCGACCAACGGTTACGTGAACCACCCTACAGCGGCTAATAGTCCAGCAATTCTTACCAATGAGATCGCTATGTAAAGTCCTTACGCTATGCAACGTCCCCCCTGGCCTAGCAAATGAAGAGTATTTGAGTAGGAATAAAATTATTTCATTTGAAAGATTCATTAAAACAAAGTTCAACACATAAGCAATAAAACACAAGATACTGAAAACTTGGACAAGCAGAATTTGAAGTGGGACACAAAGGAGGATGCCAGATTTTGAAAACCAATTATTTTGTAACAGTTAAAGAAAAAGAAACAGTTTCCTAATCATCAAAAAATCATAGGATAAAACATTTTCACAAACGAAAACACAGTCACACTAATAAGTAACATTTGGAATCTGGGATAAATTCCGGTATCAAATACTATTTTCATACTTATACAGAAAACATATTAATCAGCCATGCAAACTGGCAACTAAACAATATCAAAAATAAACCAGCTCCATCAAGATTTGATCTTTAGTGCGAGAATATGCAAGCAATTTTTGTATTATTAGGTTTTATTTTAGCTTTTGTGGGTCGCGAACAATTTGGCTGTGCCAATTGGGTAGTGATAAAAAATGTCGGCTAACAACACTTCGCCATAAATGGACAGAATTTGATAATAATTTTATCACAGTGAGGCTGCTAAGATTTTGTATCAGTTGCTGCCAGTCATGCTTGAATGCTCTTACAGTTTAGTTTTAATTATGTCATATACAAGGAAATAAGGTCTGCAAGTGGCAAACTGTTTGAGATAGCAACCAGACGTCTTACGTTTAAGATCATGTACAATAAATAAGAATAATCATAAAATAAATACAGTGCTGGAACACTTAGAACATAAATACAATACACACTTGATCATTTCAGTACAATAAACTAAAACAAATAAAAATGGATGTGCAGTTTACAGATATTATTTGCTGATACCAGAGTTTCTCAAATTGAACCGAACGTTAGACCCCCTGGAGAGCATGTAGGAGCTCTCTGGGGTCCTGAACAAAGGCCTTCGATATGTACCATCTACGGTGACAAAATAAATTACTCATTTAAATGGTGAAACAAAAAATGAACTTTATAATTTCAGATTGTCCTACTAAACAAAAACGATTGAAATGCAATAATTTGCAAATCCAAAATAACATAAGACCAAGTACACATGTAAGTGGCAGAATATTTGATGGTATAATAACAGTGTTCAAATTCTGCTAATTTAGTAACATTGCTGACCAGTTGAATTTGAAAATTTTTCAAATTACCACAATGAGATAGAATGTATTGACTCATAGGGAAATACATATCTGTGCAAAAAAAGGTTGAAAAGCATGTCAGTGGCTGCATAAAATAAAATTCGAAACCAGGAACCAGGGGTGTGCAACCCTTAATACAAGAGAGTCAGATAGAAATAACTGGGCGAAACCGCGGGTAGCACCTTTATTTTAACATAGGCTTTCTTGTACTTGCAGACAACAAAAATTTGATTATTGATCATATGACATGCGTTGTTCGCTTCGCACAAGCAAGCTGTTTTAATGTCAATACATGCTGGTAACGTACCAGATTAAGTTGAAAACTCGTTTTGCGGGCCACATACCATTCAAAATTGGCACTTCTTCGTGAGCCACACAATTTTTCCTTGTGGAACTCATTTGACCTTGACCAACAGGTTGCAGGTTTCACACCCTTGGAAAAGACCAATAAAATATTCTTAATCATGTATTTGAATTGGGAAATTTGTTTTTAGACTTTTCTTTCACACTTTCCTCTCTGAACAAGGCCCTTTACTAGCCCCCACTGATATCATCTGATACGTTAGAAGTTATAATTAATCTTGGAATAAGGCAGCTTTCAAGTCCTCAACAACAACAAACTTCTCCCTTATTTGCGGATTTGGAGTTTCAGCATTTAGCACGGTATCATAAAGCATACTATTGCCAGTGCTCCCATGAGAATCATTTGAAGAGTGAAGGAAACTGTCTTTGGGAGCACTGGAACTCCTTTTATGAGTTTCGTTTATACTACCATTTGTGGTGAGGACAGTTTTATCGTACGTAGCGTTGTATGATCGTCGAATTGAACTGCAATCCGCAGGGTCTCCTTTATCGAACTTCGGTGGCGACGGTTTTAAACCACTAGGTGGTGAATTCTTCATTTTGTGGTGAAATCGACGGATGTTTCTTTGGTGTTCGGTCTTTGATGTTGAGGTTATTCTTCTCTCATGATGATGTGGTAACCTTGTATTGTACAGGTAATGTAATTAATTCTAGTTTTCAAAATTTTTTTAGGTAACTAACGGTTTATTGTAAAAGCCGCTTCACTGAAGCCATAAGGACTTCAGTAATTATCCCATGGTTTCCCAAGGGAGGATTTTAAAAGTTTATGCAGAGGGAATTTTACTTTTTTTGCATGGTAGAATTGCTAGTAATTTTTACTTATTTAGCAATATCGTATATTTTGAAATAAGGAGTACCATTTACATGTGCCGCAAGTAAATGTTTCGTTAAAGAATAAATACCAAATGTAAATGAAGTTTTTGCGCATAGTGGGGGGAGGGGGGGGGGGGTGACGAGCTAAAAATTACGCCAAGGAAGGAATGTGTTCATAAAGTTGGGAATCGTTACAATGAAAATAACTTCATGTTGATATGTATGTCTATTTGTCCTAAAATGTAATGGCTTCTGCATAATAAATAAACATTATAACAGAAGAAGCTATGCCAACCAGCAACTAAAACTTTGTGTGAATTATCAAGGGCATGAAGCACTTGTAGGTGAATTCAATTAGATAGTATGTTTTGGGCGCTCCAGAAGTATGTCAACCAATATGGACGTGACCAAGTTTGTTTGCTATTTTACATCAAGTTGTATAACGGGACTGAAAGCTATGGGCAGGGGTATATTCACTTGTCTAACACAGACAGTCCCCAAACTCGTAATAGAACTAAAATAGAGAAAATCAGAATAAAATTATGGCCTAACCCTAACCTGGTACACGCACTACGGGAGTACCATGTTTTGAGTTGAGATAAATATGAAACTATAAGACACTAGTTAAGTCGGATTCATTTTAAAACTGATGATGCATGCATGTAAACGGTAATAACACGTTGAAAGGTGTGATATCGCAGATATGTTCCGATTTTGTTGTGTGTTAGATAGGATAGAATTTACAACCACGGGTTCACGACCCCGCGTGCGGTTGCCAATCCATAACAGGTACGGTTAGAGTTAATCAGTAATTAATTTCATAATCATGGACTTGATAGTAAAGGAAGCTAAAACCATCACGATGAGAAATCCAGTAATTCTCTCGCACATTCATATCTCCCACAAGATTCAAACTTGCACACCTGCATAAAGTAATCAGGGATGCCATGACAAGTATTTTCCTTATAATTAGCACAATATGCCAGCTGTCAGTAGTGTCAAAGTCACCAGTAAGTTATTGAGTTTTAGAAAATAATGTTTGATGTTAAGTTTTTTTATCTACATGTTAATAATTGTTAGTGAGAATAGACTAAAAGCAGAATGAATCTAAACTCAAAACAGACTGTTCTAGTTCAGGTTTATGAAGATGTTGAGTGGTGTACTACTTAGGTGTTTATGATGTTAGTACAAATAGACTCAAACCAGAAAAGTGCAAGACTCAACACAGACTTGTTATATAGATCATTCTCTATTGCGAGTAACGTTAAAAATAAACTCAGAACTGAACACAAAATCAGGCAAAAATAATCAAAAAACCAAAAAAAACTTCACAGCACGGATAACAATAGCAAGCAAGTAATCATGCAATAATAAAATTTCCACTTCGGAACAAAAACGTGAAAAATATGATTATTAAAGATTTCGAAAGCACCACTGAGATGTATGTACGACAAATTGCCCCATAAACATACAAATTTTACCTCAGAAAAAATGCACTCAAAAAGGAGACTACGAGCCCCCACTGAGATAATAATAGCAAAATATTGTGAGAATAATATGATAGATTCACTCATAAACAGATTTTGGTATACTTGACCCACTATGTATCAAAGTTTTATTACAGGCCTTATTATTATTATATTATACTTTACAATTTTTCTGAAAAAATCTTACATTTTTATCACCAATGAAAGCCTAAAAACCAGAGTCCAGCAAAATTTTGATTTTGGCTCATGTAGACACCAATGCCTACCTAGCATAACCAACATCATAATATTTTATTTATTGAAAACAAGGTAACATATTTATTGGCTAGTCTAAGCCATAAAGATTATATATAAGTTATATTAGTATATACATAGTATCTGGCATATATGATTACAGGTTTTGCACACTAAATATGACTGATTTACACTGTGTGGTAATAAATTCCTGTTCTAAATAAGCCGAAGAACTTCAATGTGCTTCGTGCAATGTGGGTAGTCAAGAGTCTTAATGCTCTAAGGAGCATTTCAAGCTATGAAAACTTACTACCGTATATGCTCGTTTTACCGCCCGATCTTGATTAAGGGCCCGTTTGAATAGCTGCCCGTATGAACACAACATAAAAATAAATAGGCGTCGGTGCTTAAATACCCGCCCGATGTAAAAGCTGATCTTTCAGTGGTAGATAACAATAGGAAATAAAAAACGCTTTTGCCACAACGCTGTTGAATTTTAAGCGCTGGTAGATAACACTCACGCCTTAGGCGTCCAAGTACATAACGGATAGCATTGATTGCGTAACACTGGGTTCTCATACTGGGCGTCGGAAGTGCGTCGTTTCAATATTGATAGGGCGTAGCAAAACTTTTCTTCTTTTGCGGAGTTGTACCTGCGGTGCGTAGAAAAAGTCAAAATTTTCGTTTTATTCTCATTTAAATCATACCTGAGTATGAGAACTGGAAATAACAATATATTAATTATTGTAACGATCGAAAATAACAAGCGCCCGTGCTTGAATAAGGGCCCGGTTAGTGAGTTGGTTGAAAAAAATATGGGCCCGGGCTACAAAACGAGCAAATACGGTATGTATGATGAGGAATTTATTTGTTTTTGGTGCTTCTGAAGTATGCGCACCAAGATGTCGCACAACCTGAACCCTAACCTGAGTTCAGGTTGTGCACCATCTTGATGCACATACTTTAGGAGATCCATTTTTTTCTACATTTCAAAAGGGGGGGGAGGATCTTGGTTAAGATCTACTATATTTCAGAGTGAATTATGATTGTGAAGATATTTAAAAGAAATACTAAGATGGGTAAGTAATAGCGTGAAATGTTTTCGATTGTAATCCAGATTGTGATAGTTTTGACCAGATCTGATTGGATGGATCCATTTGAAACTTGTCAGCTGAAACCAGTTCCAGCCTGTTTGATCCAGTTTGTAAATAAAATCCTGACCCACAGATTCTAATACCGGGCGCTTCTAGCCTATAGCTATGTTCAAATCCAATGTGAAACCAACTTTGAAGTCTAAGGAGAGTCTTCAATAACTGACTACTGTTATGAATACATTGAAAAAAAAAATTTGGGACCTCTTGAAGTATGCGCACCAAGATGGCGCACAACCTGAACTCAGGTTGTATACTATGTTATGGTTCAGGTTGTGCGACATCTTAGTGCACATATTTCAGGAGCAGCAAAATTTAAATATAAAATATATGCTAAATAGGTTTATGTTCAACATTTTTACAGAGTTCAATAAAAATAATTTAACACAAAATTCATACAGATTTATTGTCGTAAGGATGATTGGTTTAATCTAATTGAACAAAGTAAGTCAAGTTTTTTCCCAAAGTTGGGTCAATTCTGCCAAAAAACTATTACTGGATGATTGTAAGTTTGGTTGAAAATGACCACTAATAGAAGAATATTGAGAGTTTCAAGAAAAAGGGCGAAATTCAAATAAAGGCGCTACATAGTTTGTAACAATATTCCCCCAAAGTATTTCAAAGTGAAAAATATGTTTTTCTCATTTTCTCAAAGCAGATTCTCATTTTCTCAAAGCAGATTCAAAGCAAAGTTCTGCCATCAGAAAAGCCTTTGATAGATCAAAAAAGTTTATGCCTTCAAAACCAAAGTTAGTGGAAAAGATTCAGCATGTTTCGCTAGCACTTGAGTCATCTTCAGCGATAGATCCATAGCTTTGATCTGCCATTGTTAATTTCTCCAGCAAAGAAGGACTGCAATGGGCGGTTGAAACTGGTTCTGGCCTGCTTGATCCAAATTGTGTCGGGTTTGACCAGATCTGATTGGATGGATCCATTTGAAACTGGTTGGTAGAAACCAGTTCTGGCCTGTTTGCTCCAGTTTGTGGTTGGCTGGACCCGGTCTGATTGAATGGATTCGCTTGAAACTTGCTGGAACTGGTTTGAGCCAGTTCTGAGTACTTCTGTCTTGCTGAAACAGGTTTCGACTTGTTGGTGTCAGCATGAAGCCGTTGAGACTGGTTCCAACTGGCTGAAACTGGCCTTTGCATACCCAAATCACCTTGAGGCTGGTTTTGGATTGGTTGGCTTGACTTTGGTCTCTGGTTGCCTTCAGCCTGAATTAATGGCTGGCTTGTGACTTTCACCGTTGGTTTGAAGATTCCTTGTCTGGAATTTGACCAACTATCATACATTTCTGGCTGGTATTGCTTGCCATCAAAATTATACCCTTGGTATTGATTTAAACTCCCCTTTGTGGTGGCTGAACTTGTATTCTCTTTGGCAGTGTTCGTTATGGTCAATCCCTCAAAGCTTCTTTTCAAATCATAACGGCTTGGTTTTGGCTTCAAATGGCTTGGGGTTGGCTCCTTTTGGCTTGAAGTTGGACCAGTTGGATTGCAATTGGCTGACAAAGATAATAGAGCAGACTTATGTCTTTCTGCGGCTCGAGTCAAAACTGGAGAGTCGTAAGAAGAAGATCTTGGCTTGATATAATCCGTATTTAAGATTTCATTCCCTGGAAAAGATCTTGTTCGTTGATGTGTGACGTCATTCGAAAGAGCAGGGCTCGAAGCGGAATCAATTTTTGGTCGACATTCAGTGTCTGAAGTCACCCGTGCTGATGGAAATATCGAACTCTGACCCCCGCTTTCAACGTCATGGTCCAAATAGTATCGAAGACTTAAAGCTGAATCACTGTTTGAAAGCAACTGTGGATTTGCTTTGTCATTGTTGTTTGCGTCACGCTCTTTACGCTTCGGCGATCCAGAAATTATATTTCTCACGAAACTACGAAATCCAAATTTTTTCTGTTTCGCGGTTTCCGCCTCGTATTTATCATTCTCCAAATCGTAACGGAAAGTTTTTTCATCCATGGATTTACTCGAGTATAATCGACGCTTCTGTGGAGAGGAATAAATAAAATGGCTGCCAGGTTCCGGTAATTTTTGACTGATTTGAAACTCATTTGTGAAGAATGGCACGTTTTCTATTCCCTTTTTCGATACTGAGTGATTACTGCGTTCTTTAGGAGCGTTTCTCTGGCTTCTACGTGGAGATCCGTTCCTTAAACTTCGTTCTGCATCAAAGTAATCCGATTCCGTCGATTTCTGATCGTTAGATTGACTATCAAAACTTCCCTCTGCGCTCACATATTCTGGGCTTGGCGGAATTTCGTTCTGCACCACCGGTTTCACTTTAGATTGTATTTTGACCTTGAACGATCCTGGGTTTGACCTTGAAGAAATATTTTGTTGTTGGTTTGCACCTCGAGACATCGAGTGGTGAAATTCCATAGCTCCGCTAGAGCGAGGACAAATATTTGAATCCATGCTATTGTGATGCAACAAACACAAACATGCAACACATAGTGACAACACAAAGAAAGAAAAAATGAGATTGTTAGTTAGTTAGACAGAAAAGTTGGAAAGAGACTAAAATTAAAAGATATGTGAGATGCATGCATTTTATGAAATCACAGAGAATCTAGACACCGCCCCCCTTCCCCCCATTTTGCGAAATAAATCAATTTTGTCACAATAAAGTGTCGCAATTTCTAATAAAATAGCGTTGATTTTCACATAAATGAGCTACTTTGGCCACTGTTGAAAAGTATTCTCAACTTTCCATGTTATTATACGAAAGCAAAGACACATCATGCAAGTATCTGGTTATCTAATGTTCAGGTATATATGTCTGAACCTAACACACATTAGTTAAATTGCTATCCTGAGAAGAAAGAGCCATGTGGATGCGATGTGACAACATATTAGTTTACCATTAATAGGTTATTGTTTCTACCCGGAAAAAATTAACCACTGTATATTAAAAAAAAGAGTTGTAATTAAAAAAACTCTCATTTCTAAAGGGTATTTCCTCTTCCCATAATACTGAAAAAAGCCTTACATAAAAAGAAGAGTAGTAACCTAAAAAGTTCAAATCTTAGGGTATTTCCCCTCCCTATTATACTGTAAAAAGCAATATATAAAAATGTAAGCAAAATAAAATTATTATTCCAGGGTATTCCCAACAATACTGAAAAATGGAGTTTTGAACCAAAAATTGCAATCCTGAAGGGTATTTCCCCTCCTTATACCACTAAAAATTCAAAATCTAATTACTCACTTTCCAGTGTTTCCTGTCTCTTCATTTTCCTTATCACTTCCGTAATAAACCAATCCCAAGCTTCGATATAATTCCGCAGTACTAGGTGGAGGTATAGAGTTTGTTGTGTTGGGGGTACTTTTTGTTCTGTGGGGGTCGGTTGTGGCAGTTTTTTGATTGTTCTCTGGAGTGCGGGTTGGCCATGACGGATCGGGAGATCTGAAAATAACGAGGGATTATTTGCTTAGTCACGGCTGTTAAATCCGAACTGCTGTTTAGCATTGTTGGATCAAATCGAATTCATATTTTCAAATTTCCGGAGTCCGGAGTTGAATTCACCGAAATCATAAATCAAACTTCGAACTTTCAATGGTGATGAAAAAGTCAAAATTATCTTGCAAAATTCAAAAATCATTTGCTAATCAGAGTGGAACCAGACAAACCTACCTATGTTGCATATTGTCAGGTGAGTTATAATGATTAGATGAATGAAGTCTGCTTAATGTCTGGGTAACTTGATAAAATCTATTTCTTGCTTGCAAAATTTATCCCTAAGGGTAAATACTACCTCAATCGAGGACCCCATGCTTTGTTGTTTTTCAGCTAAATCCCCCCCCCCCCCCCCCCCCCCCTAACAAGAGTTATAGGTTATTACGCTAAATTAGCCATTACAGCATCAGTTCTCAAACAAGAGGCCATGGGCCATGGCCCACTTGTTTGAACATAATGGGATTTGAAATCTAACAATCAAAAAAACGCTATAAATACTACGCTAATGGTATACAGGAGGCCATGAGAACTAAAAATCTTGGTAAGAAGGATCACAAGCCATAAAAGGTTGGAAACCACTGCATTACAGTATTCTTGCAGCAAGTTAATAAGAGAAGTATTCAAGTATACGCAAATCCAATTTAGAGTAAACCACCTACGTACCTATGTTGCATATTATCAGGTGAGAATGAGTTATGATGACTTGATGAGTGAAGTCTGCTTAGTGTCTGAGTGATGTTATTTGGAGAGTTTTGCATAAGTTGTTGACTTTGGTAACTCTTGGATTGTTGTTGGTCATTTCCCTGAAAAATAGGCTTGAAAAATCAACAAAGCGTGTCTAGACAGAATAATATGACTGTAATACACATTTGAAAGTGCTGCAATTTTTCACAAGTGGTCATTTGCCTGGGAAGAGGGTACAAATCAGTCAAACATTACTAGCCAGAATAATATAACCTTAATAGACATATGAAACTGCTGCCATTTTAACAAGTGGTCAGTCCCCTGTAAAAGAATAGGTGTAATAATCACTGATGCATGTATTTTCGGAATAATATGGCATCAATGTATGAAAGCGTCTCTATTTTGAGGTGATGGGCATGAGATTTAAATCAAAACATTTTATTCAGGCCACTGGTGTCTGATTTTTTGTACAAGGACATATTTTTTAGGCTAGTTTTAACATATTTTGGGTGAAATTCTCATAAGTAGATTTTTCGCACAACCCTAAAAATAAATATGAAAAACTTTTTTTCCCTACCTTTAAAGATCTATCTGGGCTTATAGATGGCCTTGCTTGATACGGCTGTTGCCTTGTTGACTTGATATAGTGAGAAGACGGCTCTTTGCCTCGAAGATTTGGATGTGGAGCAGTAGAAGGACGATTGTCTGTTAAAAATAAAAAGAAATACCAAAGATGTTTAATTATCGGTTGAAGATAAATAATGCATGTATAACTCTCATATATTCCTGAAAACATAGTTATGCCCAATTTCACCAGTATTTCGGATGTAATCGCTCATGTGTTATTACACTGGATTGAAGCAAAAGTTTTCGCTGTACAAACGAGAGAGATTCAGAGTTGCATAAAACTATTCGATTATTCGGTGCAGCGAGAAAAACATACTGTTCAAATTTGGGCGGCCCTAATCCTCACTCATCTAAAATTTGAAAACTTCAGTTGGAAAAAAGAGTTAAGAATTAGAATTAATTGTTTTTAAAGGAGTGTATGTAGAATTGTTAAATATGAAATAAAAAAGCAAAATTTGGAACATATCGAAAACTTGGAAGAATAAAACTGAATAATAATAGTTGTGCCCACGCTAAACACTTCTTTCCATTTTTAGAATTGAAAATTCAAAAACGATTAATCCACTAATTGCAGAGAAAAGTGATTTTTACAACCAACGTGAACATCTTTTTATATACAATGCTTATTTAATTACACATTTCGTTATAAACAAACAGTCACTGATTCAATTCAAGTTTGAAAAAGGAAAACGTCACAAGCCTCTGAAAGGTGTCAGTTGTAGGAAATTTTGTTGGAGCCATTTGTTTTTCTCAATTTCAAATGATTGTCTTTGTTCATCCAACTGAAGTAATGCTTCTGCATAAAGTTGTCTCTCCTGGAAAAGTGATAAATGGTTACAAACCACGGCCAAGCACCATGTATGTACATAGTGTGAGAAATTTAAAGAACTGCTCCGTGGGCCTCTGGGTGGCCAGTTTAAAGAACCCTGCTCTCAGGATTGGTCAAGGTCATAGATTGGAAGTCAAGGTCATAGATTCCATGTCAATGGTGCTCATTTCCAGAACTTCTCAGCCAAAGCAACTATTACATTCATTATCTAAAGCCGTGGTATGCAACCTGCGGACTGGGGGCCAAATGCGGCCCACAAAGTAGAATTGTGCAGCCCGCTGAGTTAACAGCTAACTTGTGTCGCAATGTCATAAGATCCACAAACAAAATTTTTTGTGCCTGCAACTGCTGATAAGCCTATGAAAAATAAAGGTCTGGCCCCTGTTTCACCTATTTTTCATCCAATTCACTATATAAATATACTACCTTATCAAATGCTTGTTTCTGTTGGTTAAAAACATTCTTTTCTTTCTCAAAATCAGCTTTTTCTTCAAGAAAATAACAATCTTCAGGAATAGGACGATCTGAACTTTCACCTGTAACAGGAAGGAAGACAATATACAGAACAAGTTGGATGAAGTGCAATGGTTTCCAAGCTCTCATTATCTGCGACCATATTCATCAGCCAAGATAAATAATAAAATCCAACAAATGAAACAAAGAATGCATGCATCACAGTGAATCCCTTTGTGACCCCTTGTGAACCGCAAATAGGGTAACAAGGGCTCACTTATAACAAACACTGCCTAGATTAGGGCTTCCCTAACTGGGTGTCCTGACCCCATATGGGGGACGCAACAAAATTTTGGGGGTCGCAAAAAGAACACCAATTTTACACAAAGTACTATATCTATTGTACCTCTTTAGGCCTTCAATTTAAAACACAATTATTAAAAATCTTGCAAAACATAAATCTCACGATTTCGAGATAAAACATAGGATCAGAGAAGCGGCACGCTTGCCTAAAAATGCCTCCCTTGGTCGTATGACCCATGAAGCGGCGCGCTTCTCGAAACAGGGGTTCGATAAAAAATTAAATATTTTCAATGTGGCCGCGATCTAAAAAGTTTGGGAATTCCTGGCCTAGGTAATGACAGAAGGCACCCTTGGCAAAGAAATATCGGCAGTGAAAAGATTAAACTAGCCTACCTTCCCCTGTTGTCAGATAATCAATGAGTTCTTGTTGTTGTTGAACCAAATCATCATATTCATTTTCTGTGTAGTTTTCTTCTGAAAAATAGAAATGTTACAATTCATAGGAAGAAGTACTTCTCAACCAGGTTTCCAGGTTAGACCTTAGTCCTTTTCATTCTTAAACATGGCCAGCTATAGAATACGAGAATATCGGTCAGAGACCGAAGACTTTTCGACCGATACTAAATATAATGAACATAATTCATCCAAAATCAATAGGCTTCTGGTACGACATATGATGAATGCACATGCAAAATCTGAAGCAGATTCAATCTCGCTTTCGTGAGATATCGCGTGCATCTAACAGACAGACAGACAGACAAACAGACAATTACCTATCGGCTATCAACATACTTACCGATTAAAATCGATAAGTAATAACCTATATTTCATGTTTAAAATATTAATATAATGTATTCAAAATTCTCATTGTATGCTTACTCTAGTTGAGGACTTGGGAACTTAGAGATGTTAAGAGGGCTTTCTTTATTTTCAGAAAACTTTGTACATATTCATACCCGTTATGCATAAAATGAATTAAAAAATAAACGAGAACATCGGTCAGAGACCGAAGACTTATCGATCGAAACTGCAATTTCGATTCATGACTCTATAGTGACACTGCGTGTCCCATGACTAATTATTTAATAACTCGCTAATTATATGACATAATTCATCTAAAATCAATGGGCTTCTGATCCGAGATATGATGAATGCACATGCAAAATAAGGAGCAGATTCAACCACGCCTTCGTGAGATATCGCGTGCATCTAACAGACAAACAAACAGACAAATACTTATCGACATACTTACCGATCTAAAGATCGATAAGTAACAACATATTAGTCTTGAAATTTACTCACTATTAGACTGTTGAGCTTTATCAGCATTCCTAGTTTTCCTAATTTCTTTTTTCAGCGCTCTCCATTTATTCCTGATGCTCTTCTCAATGTCTTCTTTGACTAGATCATAAGGCATCTCAAACATGCCGTCTGACATCGGCTCCGACACATCGGAAGTTTCAGACTACAGAATTTGAAAGGAAATATTTAATAAGTGCATTTTGAACACAATTGGATTACTGCGGATTGAAACTCAAAAAAAAAAAAAAAATCTGATAACATAACTCTGACTCGGAAATGATATTATTTATGCTAACTTAATCCCAACAGCAACAACTCGAAACATACTTCTCTACTTATGCAGTGGTGAAGCAAGAATAACTGTGATTATTGCGATAATAATTCAATAGTATTGCAACACTAACACAAAATCATTTCCATAACATAATACAAAAAAAAGCTTTTTTTACATTTCAAATGCGGAAGTTTCAACAGGTTCGGCCCTTAACCCCCCCCCCCCCAAAGATTACATCCTTGACCCTGTGTGACATGGTGAGCATGGGGTTTGATGAACTGAGATTCCAATTCTCTAATCACTAGGCTATATCATTACTGACCATATTAGAAGCAGCACTGCTTGACCTTGAACTATCTGGTCTGTCACCTTCAGTTTGACCTTTGACACCTCCATGGTTGGATGATTCTGGGGGGAAAAAAATCAAAAAATGAGTTTGAGTGCTGTATTGTCTAATAATTATACAATAGGCAAAATAGCCTCACTTGCCAACCAGAGGGAATTTCTCCCAAAGGGTGTCCACAAGTCTTGAGATTTTTTAAAATTTATCGATATCGTTTATTGTTTTGGCCCTCACGGATGTATTAAATGAAGTAAAAATACTTGAACAATTACTGAATAAAAACAGCAAACCTGGTTATGATATATTGAGAGCTCACTTCACAACTTTTTTTTTATAATTCCAAAGGGAACTTATCGATACCATATATTATTTTGGCTATCATAGATGAATTAAATGAAGTAAAAATACTTGAACAATTACTAACAACACTCACAGTATGGTTTCCTACGCACAAGCGATCAGGCGAAGCGCTTATAAAAATTAAATAAAAATCTACACTTACGGCTTTGGTCATGTACATTGTTAGTTCTCTCATTCAGAGCTGATATTAGTTCGTTCTGCATTTCTTTTAAATATTTTCTCATTCCGTCATTTTCTTTCAACAATTGTTTTTGAGAGTCTTCGTAATTTGTGATGATTAAACGATACATGTCTTGCTCATTGCTATATAAGAAGAAAAATATTAAATAAAAAGGGGAGGCTTAATTATGGCCAACATTGGCTGGTTAAAGATATCTTCAGATATAAGCTGGTCTCACATATAATAAGCCATAAAACTGAATTTATGAAAATTATAACATATATGAATAAGCCGACCCTACAAATCGTAGAATGCAGTACAAATGTTATTACTGTCATAGCATAAACACGCAAGCGATCATATGTATGGTAACCAATCACAGACTGTTATCGCTGTCATAACGTAACAGTCACTGTTTGCACGTGTGCGTGTACGCTCTTATCGTGAGAACTTGGTTCGAGTTGTAGCTGTTGGAATTAGGTTAGCATAATGTCAATTCGTTTGAGAGCGATCAGAGTTATGCTTTTATCAGCCACCCCCCCAATTTGGCAACTTTTTTTTTGAGTTTCAAACTCATTCTCAGTGGATGCAAATCGTGCACGAGTACCACCCATAACTGACATTTTACTTTTTGTCAATCAGCATGGATTCAATGGTCAGACTTAAGTTAATTAGGATTTGAAATTTTGACGACGAATTTCTCGCAAAAAAGCATTTTGTTTTCATTTTTAGAGGAGAAGTACTTACCTTTTCTTAGTTTTATCTGTGCTCCATTTTCCACGCTTCCCGTCTGATCGTTGCAGAGAATTTAGAATTTCTATTCCAAGCATTCGTTCATGGCGTTTGTCCTGAAAAAGAACAATGAAAAAAGAAATCAGAGGGAGCCTAGTTTTTTACTTTCGATTTTTCACAAATTTGCTCGTTCTTGCAAGGTTTTAGAATGTGTTTAGATGGAGAGTAAGAATGTTACCCTCCGCTAGTTAGTAATAACAACTAAAAATATTTTCGTCTTTGTTTATTAATAGTTCTTATTGTGCTTTAGTTTTCATTTATCATACAGAAAAAACTTGTTTAAACTTCCGATTGTTATTACTATAAAATCGGGCAAAACTTTTAGTTCTTATAAATATAAAATCGAGCGAAACTTTTTGGATACCATGTAAATGCACCCTGACACTTTTAACAGAACTTACCATGCTAGACTATAATAAATTTGATGCACTAAACATAAATCTTTATCGCACCAGTAGCCAATGACATTTTAATGGCGGCCTATACCTTTGCTCATTTATGAGTTACTTCTGAGCAGAGCTGGTTTGACATCTTGACTCTGTTTCAGCATTATTTTTTCACATCAGAGCTGGGCTCCGACTCCATACCCATTGAGGTTTTAAGTGTGACCACTATCTTAAAGTATCTGCCCAAAAGCAGTTTCCTGGAAGCGGGACTCAATAGTATGATATTAGGGTTTCAAATTTCAAAATTAAAGTTTTAAATATTTAAATTCAACTTGAGATTTTGAACTAATATTATAAATTGAAATTTGTAAAAATTAATGAGCTGAAAAGGATAGATTTTATTAGTTGTGTGACATTATAAATGTAAAAAATGATAACATTTCTGTTAGCTACAGCTTCATCTAACATGGTTAAATTGGCTCCAGCTCCAGCAAAATGTCACAGTCCCGTGCTTCTGAGTTAGTGCATGCAGCTCTTAAAATTTCAGAGTTGTAGTCGTTACAAATGGCTCTGAGTTAGATGTAAAATTTCACACAAGCTTGGACTTTTTCACTTCTGTCCATGATCATAACCTTGCTTCTGACAAACTTGAATAGAAAGGGGAAAAGACTAAAAAACATTCAAAAACATTCAAACCTGTAATAACTGTTGCAAACGAGATTGCAATTTCTCAATCTCTTGGACCTTTTTTTTCTTTTCGTGACGAAATTGTGAATCTCTCGCTGTCATTTCAGCAGAAAGTTTTTTCGACTTGTCCTGCTCGAGTTTAAACTTCTTCTTGAGACCTGGAAATATGAAGAGCAATGTGTGACATTATGTGATTACTTAAATCAGGGTCGCCAACCTTTTTGGCCGATGCGCCACATTTTGTTCACTAATAATTGCGCGGCCACTTAACATGGTAATTATGTTCTAGTTTTGCTACACTGACTAAAAATTGATGAAAAAAAAAAAAAACTCTCACCAAACTTTCTCAATAATAAGAACAATAAAAAACGAAGATACAGTGAAGTCAACAAAGCTTTTCTACACGTAGCTATTTTAGTGTGAAGTTTGGCCCTGTTTTTCACTAACAAGTTTTTCAATATTTGCTGAAATGGACGATGTAGCAATGCGAAGCGAATTTTCCATATGAATGTCAGAAATTAGTGATCTCACAGGGGATTTGACATAGTCTATCTGTGAACAAAAATTGCTTGTACAAGTAAGTGCTGCCAAATATTTGAAGTCATTAAAACTGCCATTCTGTCCAAGTGTATAAGCGACTATTTATGTATCGATATCTTCCAGTTGGTTTCGAATCCAAATGGAACTCATGGCTCGTTTGAAAGAGCTAGCAGAGCAAATTTCAGAAAAATGAACAAATTGTTTGTATCAAAACTTTATATTAACTACAACAGTCGAAAAATAGAAGTTTTACTCAATTTTTTTCCCTTTAATTCCGAAAATACAGCGCGGGCCACTCAAAACTCCTCGGCGGACCACATGTGGCCCGCGGGCCACGGGTTGGACGACCCTGACTTAAATGGTGAGTAACGCTACAACTCTTTATTTGTTGCAATGCATCTCATTCATCCGTCTGGCTCACCAGTACTTGTATAATCGTGTTAACTTGTAGACGTTTGTTAATAATAGTGTTTCAGTTGTTTGTTAATAAGTTGCGCTGCTGTTCTCAATAAATGGAATTTAATTGTATGCGAGTTTCTATTCTGAGCAGATAGCAATCAAGCAATGAAACTAGTATTGAGATTATCAGTTAATTAAATATTATGTATTCATATTATAAAACATTTTAAGTAATACTCATTTAAATAGAGAGAAAAACAGACCAAATAATCTGATATGTGTGACTCACAAATTACCTTCATGACGTATAATAAATAGGTAGTAAATAGAGAACTATTTTAAATAAAAGACCACGAAACAGGAGTTCTCAACCTTTTATCTCCCATTTAAAACTATAATACAGGGTGCCCATAAAGTCCTTTCAAATTTGAATTTTGTTGTGAAGTCAGATCTCAATATATCACAGCCAGGTTTGTTATTTTTAATCAGTAATTGTTCAAGTATTTTTAGTTCATTTAATACATCTGTGATGTCCAGAACGATAAATTCACTTTGAAATTTTAAAAACTTTCAAGATTTTATTGAGACGCTGTACTTCAGATTGTGAGACCAAAACATTACCACTGCAGTTAATAGGTGGTGTGACAATTTTGTACGAAGGCACAATCAGTAAGAACCTGTAAGTCGTAAGTAATCTAACACTGAAAAACGTTTGAATTGTGAAGAACAATTTCATATCAGTTCAAACATTTCATTATTTTGTACAACCCTGGCTATTGTTTGCTTGTCAAGAGACCTTTAAAAAAAAACACAACTTTAGAAATATTTCACTCACTTTCCATTCTTTGTGACAGCTGTAGCTGCATCAATTCTTTTGATTTTAAATCTCGATCCTTATTCGCAATGTCTTCCTAAAAATTTGAAAATAAAAATTGGATAATTCCCATAAATATCCTATTGTTATTCGTTATTTTACTCCGAATAAAGGTTCAAGCAAAGAATGAGGTTTGAGGAAATATTATATTTTGAAGGGACCAAAATCTTTCGGGTACTGAATTTTTCACCCAACTGATTTCCCCCAGGATGGGGTTAGTGGACATGGGGGTTCCTTGGGATGCCATCATTTACGTTTTCAAGTCTTTCACCCTGAAGGAGGCTCTGTACGAGCAGCCACTGATGCACAGGAAGCTACAGAAATTTGGAAAGACAAGAATCTTAATAGTTTGGGATTGTCCACCCAATTATCACAGCCTAGATGGGTTGGGGGAACCGTCGCATTTCCTAAGCCTCTTCAAGCATTTGTACAAATGGCCACAGAAACGTGAGCGCAACTGAATTTCGTACGAACCAGAATCTTACCGGTTCATTAGCGGCCAAATTTATTACACACTTGATGAGATGATTGGGAAGTGATTTGCATCTAAGATCTTTAATAACCTGTGATGTCGACATGGCATATTATTACCTCTCAAGGAGGAAATTTTCTTTGATATCTGAAGACTCCTTGAGATCCCAACAATCTTTTCATCTTTTATAAACCATTTATTATTTTACAGGAATTAAAATGACAAAATAGTAAATGATTTAGGTGTGCCTTCTTCAAAAGTCAATTTCATGGATCAATTGAAAGATAAGTGTCTAATAGAAAGCACTTCAACACCAGACATTGAGTATCAAGTATGTTTAAAATTGTTTTCAAATCACACTGCACTAGTGATCAAAAGAGAACGCATAATTGTTATTATGGAAGACAAAACACGAGACCATAAGCTCAGAAGTAGGTGATCCCCAAACCAAAATTTTTTTAGACATTAATTCCTGCCTTTTGTTGCAAACAAGGCATTATAAAAGCAGCCACTGACGTCTAATGATATAGGACAGGGGTTCTCAAACCAGGGGTCACGACCCCAAATTGGTTCGAAGTGATAAGTAGGTAGGGTCGCAAATAGGTCGTGGGGTCGCTGAGGTATGGTAGAGGATTGATGTATAAAACATCTAAGATTTGACAAACCATGTTAAGTTTAGTAGTTTGTACCATGGCTTACTGTAAAACGGGCTCATAAGCATCGCTCTATGCTGATGCTATAAAAAATGTAGGTGTTTATTGTGACATCCCTGCTTGGTTTTAGCTTATTTTACTTAATACCACCATATGACCAAACTCAAAAGTCCAGTAAAAAGCTCTAAAGTTTCATGAAAAATATATATATTGACCTGGGGTCGCACTGGACACTTGAAAGTTGTCTTTGGGGTCGTCCTGAAAAAAGCTTGAGATCCCCTGATATAGAATAAACTTTTTTATCATTTAGAAAGACGAGAAACTCTCCGGTTCTGCGTTGACTACTCAATTTATTACAGTCTGGATAAGATGGGAGGCATGGAATTTGAATCACAGATGTGTACTCTGCTACGCCAACACAGTTAATATTGTAATCAGTAGGCCACCCCCTCTCCCCCCCACTCAAAACAAAATAATGAATTAATGGGGCTCCCGAAGTATGCGAACCAAGATGGCGGACATCGGAATGTAATATGTGTACTAGGTTAGGGTTAGGCCATTATTTTAGGTATAAATACTACGGGAGGCTCTTGGCTAGTCTTCGAACTGATAATAGGACGAAAATAAGGAAAATTGGAAAAAAATTATCGCCTAACCCTAACCTGTTACGTTCCGATGTCCGCCATCTTGGTTCACATACTTCGGGAGCACCGAATTAATGTTAATGACTTTTTTTTTCGACATTAAATTTTAAAATATGATATAGATCAAGGTTACTCAAACCTCTTCACAGAGCAGTTTTCTGGGGCCATGATTTAAAGGCTCTAAACTAGGTACAATTTTGAAATAAATTTACTATGGTAAGTTAATGCTGTGGCCTGTGATGCATTTGTTTTTTTGCTCCCGTTGATTTGTATATTCAATTCATTCAGAATATTCTAGGACAGGGGTCATCCACTGGCACTAAGTAGGCTTGTGCAGGGTGTATGTTAAATTTCCTAGGCTGCTATAGAAGTGGTCATTTGAAAAACACTGAATTTGAAAATACAGGGAGTCCTCGACTTACGACAGTGTTCCGTTCTCGAGACGCGGTGTAACCCGAATTTCAGTGTAAGTCTGAACATTATACCGTACAGTACATGAATTACTCTACACATATCGTACTGTATTGTAAAGTATGGTACTGTAATAAAATGTACAAATAATGCAAAAAAGTACTTTATTAAAAAATCAGAAAACAATTCCATGACCATATCACATGAATAAAAGCAAATACTGTACAGTACAGTATTATCTTTTATATTCTTTATGAAGTGCGTTCGTAACGTCGAAACAGCGTTATGGAGTGCGCGTTCGTTACCTCGAAACAGCGTAAGTCGCGACCGTCATAACCCGAGGAATCCCTGTATACCTAAGTCTTATTGATATTAACCTACTTCCTATGATGTTGTAATTATTAATAATAATATTTGAAGAAGCTTAAACATTATCTGTGTCTCCTGTCTCCTCTCCTCATGGCTAAATATCAATAATAGTAATCAGGCAAATTGGTTTTCAGAAGTGAGCATCCAACTGGTTGGCCTCGGCCCTTAATCGGTACACTGGAAGTAGCCCGTGGCTTCAAAAAGGTTGGTGACCCATGTTCTAGGACAGGGGTGGGCAACGCGAGCCCACGCGAGTTCGGCACGCGAGCGAGGCCTCAGAAACGAGATCATTCTCTTTCAGATAAAAAGTTTCGAGACTCTGAGTTATGTGATGAAACTCGGTGTTCGTTTATTCATTATCGTTTTTTAACAATCTGTTATTCATTCGAACTCGTTTTGTCTTTTCATGACATATGGCTAGAAAGAAAAAATATTATGACGTAACGACTGAGTGAGCTCTCGACGAATTTTGTCGAGAAGAACACTCCTTTCATTTGGCTACATTGTTACGTAGCCTACATCGTCTGTGCCACCATTTTTCTTCATTTCTGATTGATTTATGAAGTTGTACAGCTCATGTTGGTTAGAGTTACCTGACTTATTGTTATAAATGGATTTCGAAAGAAGTATAAGCGATTAGGGAAGGGAATACAAGAGAGAAGTGCAGAAAACGAACTATCGCGTGATTGGGATGCCATTCCTGAGAATTTTTCATATCTTAAAAACTTTGCAACTGCATTACTCTCCATGTTTTCATCTACATTATGCTTGTGAATCTCAGTTATGATTATGACCTTTATTAAGTCTCGTAACAGGAGTAGCCTGAAAGATGAAACCAGTAGTTTGTGTATTTCTTTGAAACTTAAAAAATATAAACCCAATGTAAAATCTCAATCAGTGGTGATGCAGCAGCAGAAGTCTCACTGATATATAATAAGAAGTAATCAAATCTATTTGTCGGACTGATATTTTCCCGAATAGTGAATCTTTTCCGCTTTGAAAATAGCAAAGCATTTCGGTCGGCACGCTGAAAAATTTTGTGGTCAAATTTAGCCGATTTTGGCACGCGAGACTAAAAAGGTTGCGAACCCCCGTTCTAGGATATTATAAAAAAGATAATGCCAGATTAATTATTGAATTGATAGACAAGGAGAGAATTAAACAGCATTACTGCCTTCTTGTGTTATTAAGTCCTACCGAGTGCTATTGATAACTTAAGCTAAGATGCCTCTCATAAAGAGGAATTATCCTATTTAAAAGGTTTTAAGGAAATTGAATTGTAACAAGCTTTAGATTGATGAATACACATAAATCAATTTTTTAACGACTGGTTTTAAGCTATGCTTCAGTTTGACACAGGAATACGCTATATTGAGTAAAACCAATTTTGAATGTATTCCAATATTTATTTGTCTTGAACATCTTTTCTAAGTTCATGGTTATATCTACGTACTATTATTTTGGAATACGTAATACGGGGCTCCCGAAGTATGCAAACCAAGATGGCGGACATCGGAATGTAATATGTGTACTAGGTTAGGGTTAGGCCATAATTTTAGGTATAAATACTACGGGAGGCTCTTGGCTAGTCTTCGAACTGATAATAGGACTAAAATAAGGAAAATTGGAAAAAAATTATCGCCTAACCCTAACCTGTTACCCATGTTACGTTCCGATGTCCGACATCTTGGTTCGCATACTTCGGGAGCACCCGTAATACAAATTAAAAACATTGAATCTTATTTAGGTGGAGTACAGTAGTACAGGTTTCCCAACCTTTTATTGCACAAGGCTCCCCCTTCCAAAAATTTTTGGCTTTCATGGCACTCTGTTTATCATTCCAGTAGTAGTGTTTAGAGTGTAATTTTGATTGGTAGATTCCAAATCCCATTATGTTCAACAATGCATGATCAACAAATTGAAAACACAGTGTTGTGAAATAACCTTATCATGTAACAAAACTAGGGGTAACGGCGAGTTTTCTTGTGAAGTGAAAAGTAAAATCGTTTTTTTCGCCTAGCCTTGCTCTTAACCAATGTTCCCTCTAATTTTTTGTAGTATAGTTTTGTAGTAATTTTGGTGTGTGTGCACTTTTTTGAAAATGACTAATATTTGTGCAAAAACCAATGAAGAAATTTGGGCGTTCTAACCGGGTAATAAGTGGGCCAACAACAAACTTTCTCAACCTGCCAACCGAGCACATTGTTACATTACATCGAAATATGTCTGTGCGCAGCCTCTGAAAGCTGTGTGCGCGCACACACGCGCACACCTTAGAGGGAACACTGCTCCTAACATACTGTTAAAACCAGTGGCTTCTTCTGTAGGGTCTTGTTCGAAACAATTCAAAAACTAACTTCGATCAGTGATTCTCAAACATTGAGGGGAACGCCCCACAAGGCGGGGCTAAACAATTTTTTAAGGGGGTGTGGGGCTGATAAAAAATAGAAAATTTTTTGTTAGATTTGATCTTGCACACCTTATTTATATAGAATATTCACATTACATATTTCCAATGTGTTTTTTTCACATAAAACATACTCTCGTCTAATCATGTGTTATTTGTAGCTTATTGTTAGATAGTATTTTTTGAGGTGAGACTTGGCAAATTTTGAAAAGGGGCACGACTTGAAAAGTTTGAGAAACACTGATTAAGTTTTTTGACTTGTTTTGAATATCCATGGGGAACACTATGAGAGTGAACACTGAAGTGTTTGAATCAACAAATGTCAATGTTGACAATTTGTCTATCATCTCTTTATAATATATACTATGACTCATAATGTCATCGATTATTATCAAACAATGTAAATATGACGAGATGTCAAGGAGATATCTCTGAAGGCAAAAAAGATATGCATGTTTATTGTAACCAAGGATATCTACAAAACTAGCTAAGGCAGTGGTTCCCAATATTTTTCATTAAATTCCTCCCTTTTTGAACTCTTTATATCTTCCTTACTACGAATAAAAAGCATTTTTGTTTATTCAATCCTAAATGGATCCTTAGGTAGCGTTACTGCAAGTCACACTATGGCTTTTGTACAGTATACGTCAGTGGTTCTCAAACGCTGGACAAAGACAAATTTTTTGTAAGGCATGAAGCTGATTAAAAATAAAGATATTTGTCAGATTTGATCTTGTCCGCTTTATTTTGGATATTTACATTTCTTTATTATGTGAACGTATTTTCAGCGTGTTTTTTGAATAAAATATACTTTCGCCTTACTATCTGTTATTTGTAGCTTATTGTTAGCTATTTATTTATGAGGTTGGGCGCGAGACTTGACAAATTCTTGAAAAGTACGAGAACCACTGGTTTAGGTAGTAATGCGTGCATCAATAGGATTCGGACATTATTCTGTCGCGCATCGTGCATGAATATTGTACCGACAAAAACTAATGCTTGAAAACATCATTCAAAATGAAGCAGTGGTTCCCAAACCACGAGTGGGCCTTAACGATTTAATATAGCACGCCGAACTTGAGTGAAATATAGCTCAATTATTTGTTTTTCTACTTTGCGGTCTAGATGCTGCCAAATGTTATGTCAATACATTTAAGCACGCGTATATTCGTAACAGTTGAATTATACTGGTATCTTAATTATAGGTTCCGTACCAGCCCTTTGCAGGCGCTCCCTTCCCCTGGCCCGCGAATATCCTCCCGCTTCTAATTTTGGCCCCCGGGCCCCGGTCAATCAGCTCTAAGAACCACTGTTATATACAGACAATATTTCTGCAATTGATTAAATCGTCTTACCTTCAATCTTGAGGCCAGATGTCTCAATCGTACAATTTCGGCTTCAGAAGATCGTTGTACGTCGTTCGATTCACTTTGTATTTCAAATGATTGTCGCCAAGATCTCAGTAGATCGTACGAGATGTTTACAAGAGTCACAAGATCTATAGTGCCACCTTGTTGTTGATCTGGCGACAATTCCAAGTCATCTTCAAAATCGCTGACTATGGACGGATAGCCGAATACTGACAGTTCCTGGAAAATGAATAAAAAATTAATATACAAAAAGATTGATACAAAATAGCAAATGTTGTAATAAAAAAAATAGGCGCTCCAGAAGTATGTGTACCAATATGGAGGTAACTAATTTTGTGCGCCTACACTACATCAAGTTGTGTAAAGTGACTGAAACCTATGGGCAGGGGGTATATTCACTTGGCTAACACAGACAGTCGTAATGGAATAAAATAGGAAAAATCGAAATAAAATCATGGTCTAACCTTAACCTGGTACACATACTATGGAAGTACCAAAAAATATTATAAAGATATGGATGTTTTTAATCTGCTACCTTATCATAGTTTGAAGCAGTATTCACCAAAGTACTTCAATAAATGTTACAACAGTTTGAAGAATAAAAAAAATACAATTTCTACATTTTGTCAAAACAGCATTTCCAAGTTTTGAGCTTTGTATTGGATCTCTTTACTGTAGTTATGATCATAGTGAACACTCAATTACCTCTCTGAGCCGGTATTCAAGAATCGGGAAATATCACAAAACGAATGTCTCAAGAATCGTGAATTGATAAGAATTACTCTATTTCATAAAAACTAAATTTAACCTTAAACTAAATATTCTGACATATCCCAAACGGAAATATGAAGTGATCTAAACAAACTCCAGACGTAGCAATTAGGAATGAATATTTTATGACCAACTGTCTGGCAAGCACATCTGTTATTCAGCTGTTTTTTGTTGTTGTAGAAAAGTTTTATTACTTTTACGACCAAGGAAATAATAAGTGAGAGTAAACCCTATAAACAGCGGTTTCCAAAAAGTGTCAGTCACTAAGTGCACATTAACGATCACAAAATTGAGTTTCATTTAAAAGCAGCAATTTTTCTTGTGTAAAGTTGTAAAGTTTTTTTCCCTGATAATGTGTCATCACATACCGCTACAAAAAAGTTTCATAACCGCTGCCTTGGAGGAAAACCAATTCAAACTGTTTCCAATATTCTATGAACAAAAATATTACTGCTATAATAAAATAGAGAGCATCAATTTACTAGGTGCCTTTACATGAACACAATAATCAAATGACACAGGAGTCGCTTTGAGAAAATCAAACTTTAACAAAAACAAAACTTTGTTGTATGCAAGCCTACAGGCCATTGAAATTGCTTAGTCGACTTAACGCTTTTCGTGTTATCGTAAAACCTATGGTAATAAGGCTTAAGTTGATACAGGCTTAGAACTCAGTCCAAATGGGTTTTCCTTGAAGGGCTTTACTGTTGTGAATTGTGATTTCTAAGTTATGTTTGTCTGTTATTTTTCAAAACATTGTGACATTCTTCAGCAGTCATATGCACCCAATTCAAACATCCCATGTTATTACAAACTCCTGTACATACTTGTGTATGTTATGACAGGTTTTCTAGTCTTTTGTAGCTATATATAAGGTTTATTTATATAAGACACATAGACCACGCTACAGCTGAACGTTTTGTTAAGGATTTGTTTTCAAATATACATTATTCTATGGAATATAAATGTGTATTGAAATAATACTGTCATATCAGATAACTGACATGTAGTTCTTGCTCTGTAAAGGCTCGAAACAAGCACTTATTAACCCTTTCAAGTGCAAAATTTTATTGCCTTCTCATATTGGACACATAAACCACTCTAAACCACTCTAAGTTCGTTTTTTTAGGGAATTACTATGGAATATATATAGGCTATGTTAATGACAAAACATTATCCATTTAGCTGTGCATTATTAAAATATTTCTCTAAAATAAATTTCCCATGTGGTGTAAAAATTACATCATCTCCAGGATGTTTTAAATATTAAATTTATCTTAAGAGCCACGAACGCAAACGAAATTTTGAATTAATTTCATACTGTTTCATTTTCAATCAACAAAATTTATTCAATCATATTTTACAATGTGATATATAAATAATATGTCAATTTTGTATTTGTTGAAAGGTTCAATAAACCCAAAGATTGAATTTCCATGGTTCTTATATAGTTTATATAAAGAGCACTATAAACTCAGTACGTCTGTTAATTGTTTTCCATTTACTGGTCATTTCTAGAGATATAGGCCAGGTCTACTTAACTGGACCTTATCCGGACCTTCCGAAAAAAATTTTTTGAATTATTAGCCCCACTTTTTGAATTTCCTATTATAAAATGACTTTCATAGTTTTGAATATATACGAAAAGAACTATAACACCATAATAAACACTTTTAATTTGCTACTAATCATTAGTCGGTCGAGGAAGTGCTTGTTAAGGATGCCGAAATATCATTTCTGGAAAGACAGGACCCAAATAATTTTGAAGTTTTGTTTGCGGACCTTCGATAAAAATAGTTGAGTAGTCCTGATGTAGGCTACATTTACCAACATCTAAATCGGTAAAACCAAGTTTTTGAAAATCTTTATCATAGAATCGTTTTTTTTGACGAATTAGCAGCTATTTTGTAATTTAAAATAAAGCAAGCCCAGGTTAATAACTTGTTATATGTTTTTGTTAAACAAAAACCTAGAAAGAATATCAGACGACCCAACTTCGCATCGCAAGGATAAGATAGGATTTATATATTTATCCCGGGGGAGAGGAAAGCCGATAAGACAGCTTATCCATATGGAGAACCACGGCCTCTCGTCCGGTTACCAGTCCAGGTCGGGTATGGGATTAGTTAGCCAGTTATTTGTTTTCGGGAGCATGGACTCGATAGTGGAGGAAGCCGTAACCGACCAGCGGTTACGTGAACCACCCTACGGCGGCGAGGAGTCCAGAAATTCTCTCGCACATGATCATCCCCGCATGGGATTCGAACCTGCGATCCCACGAAGGGTAATCAGAGATGCGGTGGCGAGCGTATTCCTAACGCTTGGCACGATGCGCCACACCGCCGAGCCGTGCAGCCAGGGGTTTAGCCTGGAGTTTTCAACAAGGGGTTCGTAAATTTTTAATAGACCGAAACAGCTAACGGGTCCCATAAGATGCCAAAAGCGTGTGTTTTCCAAAGATCTTGAAGGTCTCAAAAGCATTTTAGGCATGAAAAATTGTTATGTATGATACAAAAAAATTTTTTTTTTCACATTTCAAAAGGGAGGGTTCCGACCCACACACCCTCTCCTGTGTACAGCCATGGTCGCACCCACCCCATGTTGGAAAAAAACAGTGTGAGCCTTTTTCCAAGAGAATGTAAAAACTGTTTCACAAAATAGTACGTATCAATTAATAAATTTACCTGATCAAGGAAAGCCACTCTTTGAACTAAATTTTCTTTCCCACAAAAGGTTGAAATTCTATCCATTATTTTTCGGCATTCCGGTGATCTGTAAGATATTAAAAATTCTGAAACATATCGTCACGGTAGAACCAAATTAGCGCAAGTCACATTTCAAGGTTTTATCAAAATTTGTAACCCGCGTTTAGGAAACGTGAGCTGGGATGAACCAGGGTCCAAAAATTTTGCTGGCTGGACTGGTGGGCCATGTAAGTGTGAAATTACCTTTTATTAACAATATTTACAGTGTTACAAAAGCAGAAGTAGGAATCGATGAGCCTCGTGCCTGAACTAAATTTAATCGCAATTTAAACAAAATACCCTTGAGCTATGATTTAGCTAAAACATCAAAATTTGGTTTTGCTTGGTTGTGGTAGTAACAGGCTGGCCAGATTGAATTGCCCAACAGCCAGACTGGATTCCATGGCAGGTGCACGCCCGAGGGCGCTAATGCTCCGCAAAAATGCAAGGGAGCCAATCCAACTTTGCACGCCGAAAATTTGCAATTGCTCACCAATGAAAATTGGTATAAATGGTTTTTAAATCAATAATCCAGTAATATAAAGATGTCAACAAATTGCAGCTCCACAATTGTCGACTACATACAATTGTCGCTTGCAAGATTTGGCCTGATCGAAAAATGAGAAGCAAAAAGACCAGAGAATAGCTAAGAGCGCCAGACTCCTTGCCGACGCAGGTCAGTTACGGCTCTGATTCAGCGTATTGTTTATCAAATAATTTTACACAAAAAAACTCGAAAATTAATGTCAAAGTATAGAAATAATATTTGGGGGTCAAAGGTCCATTTTTGCTTTGATTCGACATATTTTTTATCCAATAATTTTAAGCGGATGCACTAAACAGTACAAGTATCCAAAGTCGCACAAACACTCTTAAAATTAATGACAAGTTATTGGAAATAAGGTTTTTGGTGGTCAAAGGTCAAACGTCCATTTTTGCTCTGATTCAACGTAAATTTCCAATAATTTTACGCGAATGTATTGAACAGGTTCTAAAGTCAAAGTCAGTTGCGCGCTGGCGCAGTTGTTTTGCACGTCGTGAGCTATAATTGCATGCCGGGAATTCTGATTTGCAGGCGGGAATTTCTGATTGCACGCCTGATTTCTCGTTCAAAAAGGCCATGAAATCCAGACTGGCCCAACAGGACTGATTGACAAGGCTTTTGCTGTTGGAAAAAAATCACTTTTGTCCACAATTAATATCGAAACAGGTACAAGCTTGGGAACACAGAACGAAAGGCCGGCCCAAGTCCACAATGACTGACGATAAAATAAATCACATTTCTGAAAAATGCGACATGAGCTATTTTGGTTGTACTGCGAAGATAGAGCTATCTTTTATATTTAATGATTACCCTAACTCATCATTCCAGTCATTCTGTTATTGCTAAATTCATGTTGTTGATTAGGTGATTAGTTTGGGGAAAAAATAGACGCACTCTACTTCTTGTATAGTAATTTATTATGTGTTCATGTATAACATACAGACATATAAGTGTTATTATAACAAACTGAAGAATCAGTAATATCAGCAAATACAAAGCAAAAATTCTTCCCCATTGTGGCCACAAATTACCTGATGTTTGAAGGTTTAAAGGGTGAAAACTCATTGCAGCTTCCTGGCATAGAATTCCTAAAATGTGAATTTTGATCTGATGAAGATCTATGAGACATATAAATCCCTTGTCCAGGTGAAAAAGATTGTCTTGTCAAATATCGCTGAGCAAAATCGCCAGGGGGACCAGAGCTTTCATCCATATTTTAAAAGTAATTCTCGAGATAAAATTTCGTTGTTATTTTGGAGTTCAGTTGTAAAATATACCTGTTTAAACAGAAATCCAGAAATTAAATTATTATTTTCACATCTATTTCATAAAAATATATCTGTTATAGCAGTATAGTCTACTGTTCTTTTTGCTGATACTGTCCTAACTACTGGTATGGCTGAATAGTAAAATACCAGTATACTTACCGGCCAGACTGGATTCCATGGCGGGTGCACGCCCGAGGGCGCTAGCGCTCCGCAAAAATGCACGCGAGCGAATTCAATTTTGCACGCCGAAAATTTGCAATTGCTCACCAATGTAAATCGGTTTAAATTGTTTTAAAATCAATAATCCAGTAATATAAAGATGCCAAAATATTATAACTCCACAATTGTCGACTAATACTAGCTTGCAAAATTTGGTCTGATCGAAAAATGCGAAGCAAAAAAGACCATATCGTGTTGAATGATAGGAATCCCGTGAGAATAGTTATGGGCGAAAAGATCGCCTCCGCACCAACGCTGGCCAGGTACGGCTCTGATTTAGCGTATTTTTCATACAATAATTTTACACGAATGTACTGAACAGTACCGGTATTTAAAGTCGAACAAACACTCTCAAAATTAGTGACGGAGTATAAAAATACTGTTTGGGGTCAATGGTCAAACGTCCAATTTTGCTCTAATTTGATGTATTTTTATTAATTCTACGTAAAAACACTCCCAAAATTAATGACAAAGTATGTCCATTTTTCTCTGGTTCAACGTATTTTTTATTCAATAATTTTACACGGATGTACTGAACAGTACCGGTATCCAATATCGCACAAACACTCTCAAAATTAGCGACAAACTGTAGAAAAAATGTCTGGGGTTAAAGGTCAAACGTCAATTTTTGCTCTGATTCAACGTATTTTTTATCCGATACCGGACGGTGATGTATCGAGAGGTATCTAATGTCAAAGTCAGTTGCACGCGGGCGCAGTTGTTTTGCACGCCGTGAGCTATAATTGCAGAGCCATTATATAATGGCTCTGATAATTGCACGCCAGGGATTCTTATTTGCACGCGGGAATTTCTGATTGCACGCCCGATTTCTCGTTCAAAAAGGCCATGAAATCCAGACTGGCTTACCGGTACCGTACATCTGTACATACCGGTATTTATCGCGACTCCACGGGCAGACGGGGGTGAACGATCTGAAAACGGTTTAATCACCTATTCCAATATTCGAAATGGACTGACAGCCGAATGAGAGGCCATGGTCCTCCAAATTATTAAACCATAGTAAAATATCTATCTGTATCTAACATATTATCACTTTCTTCACCCGAGACAGCCAGGCATAAATATAAAAACCAGATCCTGTCCGACAATCAAAGCAAACGGCAACGAAACAACAGAACAAAAACACCCGCCGTCCTTGAGAACAATTTGAACTGATACGGCTGAATGCCCGTGCTGGCGATACGAAAACAAGAGGGCGGTGCTCATATTTATGGGCACGAAATCCAAAACGAATAACTAGTGAACCTTGCGTTTAATAATACTGATACCGACAAAAAACTTTACCAAATGAAAATTAATACTCTGAGCATATAGAACAACCGGTTAACCAATGTATATTTTTTCACTAAACTCTGGTATTTTTACATAAAATTATTCCATAGGTGATTCAAGAATATTGCTACACATAGAAAGAGATAGATAGAGAGAGAGAGAGAGAAAGAGAGAGAGAGAGAGATAATATTTTGTCAGCGAGAATAATAGCATTAAAGCAATAAAAATTGTATACAGGATACACAAAGTTATTCAGTATAGACCAAAGTGACTATAAACCAAGTGTAGATGCATATCGGACGCCATTTGTGTCCAGGGAATCGGGGGAACGCGGCAGCGTCGGTTTGTTTTAGCTTCGTCAGAAGGTCTCGTTCGTCAATTTGTTTGAAGATTTTTTACTGTTTTGCATTTTATTCGGGTAATTTCATTTTTCTTTTGGTATTTGCCTCGTGGAATCATACTGGTATCGTGCGGTTTCGTGAAAGTTGCGATAGTTATCTTATCATCCCGTGTGTGTTATGCAACTTTTAAACCTCATATCCCACGAACCTTATTGGACACGAAATGGACATAACGATCGTTTCAAAATTTTGTTGTTATCGTTATTTGTCTCCGTCTCCATTTTTAAAAAATCGCTTTTCTCTTCGAATACTGGACCAATTGCTTTGAAATTTTCAGTGGTTAAAGAAAAAAAATTTCTCCAGAAGGCTATTTTTTTCGCTATGACGTCATCAAAATTATTGCCATTGGGTGGCGCTACGTGTCCATGTATTTGAGCATAGCTCTCTTGTATTACATGCAGATAAGTTTTATATTGTTTGAAAGACAATCTAGAAGACTAAATATAATTATGAGATGAAGATAAAATGTTGCGATTATCATACAAAAATCTGCAAAATTGAAAAGCGGGGAATTTTTTTTAGAGGCTTTTGAATTAAATAACAAAAACTTTGATTTGTTCTTGTTTTAACCTAATATGACATCGACACATTTGCAGAGGTTAAAGATAGCTTTCGACATCAGATAGAATTTATCGTGCACCAGTAAAATTGTATAAGTTATCTCATTCAAGGTTCTCCAATTCTTGACATGTCCACTGCGCAAACTTGAGTTAAACAACAACGTTCCCTAATTACTTCGTTACGCAATTACGTAGCAAAGTTCTGTATGAAAAATACATATCGCTTTCCTTCGCAAGTGTGAAACGTCATTAACCTAATGCATACGTTTAAATCAGGTACTATTTGAACTGGTATTATGATACCTGTTCACACCATGCCACAAAAGTTTAAAGTCTGCGTTTTACATTAATCAATCCAGAACCTGATGGAATGAATTTTCTCGGGAAAATTTTTTCCTTTAATTTAACGAACAGTTGCAACAGTTGCTCCAAAAATTATAGAATGTAAACGATCTCATGGCTAGCACATTTGTGCGGCCTAATGAATTTCGTCGAAGCATGCACATTACATTATAAGGTACAAAATTTAAAAACCAGCCGCCGCGACTGGTGTTGCAGCTCTTAGCAACTTATTATTGGCAGGATGTTTCGATTCTTTTGCGTCGGAAAATGTAAAATATTTACTAGGTGATTTAGCGACGCCATCATGTCTTCTACGTTTTCGTTGATAAAACTTAACTATAATTTTATCGATATCCAACAGTGAAAAATTAGTCTTGATGTTTCCGGGGGAACCCTATAAAGACACGGGTTCAAATTGTTTGTTTGTTTCTATGGAAAGTGTCAATATCCCGATGAATGCCCACAATCGTTTCTAACTCTTTTTAGGTCTTACACACACGATAAATATTTGAAAATTGATAGTTTTACCCAATATTTATGCCACCCATACAAAAAAGCAATCGTATTTTTGCGCGAAGAATAAACGATAATTCGCGATAATATAAATGCCTTTGCTAATATATGTTCGCCTGTTACTTTTCTGACAGATAAAGTTGCTTGGAGTATAATTTCCCATCTAGCCACAATATCGCTTTTAAAATTTTGAAACGATTTCTCAATTTAAGGCTAAATATTCACGCAAAACAGGAGACAAATAAAATTATTGAAAAACGATATGCTAGTTCTTAGTAGACCTGCGGCAAGAGTCAAATAGATAATATATTATTTTATACACTCCAGATTATTAGATGTTCTTGTAAACTTGATATACGACGTTATCCTTCATTCCATGCATGTAGTATATTTTTTTAATATTATTTTGGCAATGTACATCTTGTTGAAAATTTGCGATACGCATATTTTAATATCATGACATGTACCGCAAAAAATAGTGCAAGTTTCTGTGGTATAATTTGTATTGTAGGTCTGTCAGTTTGTTAAAATAGCTTATGTGCAAGTAGCGATACTTACATCAGGAATTTTATAATGAAATATGCTTACGAAAACAAACAATATAACTAATCCCATACCCGACTTGGAATGGTAACCGGACGAGGGGACGTGGTTCGCCATATGGATAAGCCGTCTTATCGGCTTTCCTCTCCCCTGGGATAAATATGTAAATCCTCCTCCTAAAATGTGTATCTTTTGTTTATTATTTTGGTCTTAATTGTTGATTTATCGAGTGAAGTTTGCCGAGCCGAGCCGAGCCGAGCCGAGTTATCCGAGAAACATGTGCGGATAATTAATTTTTCAGAAGAATGTTGATTCGTTTTGCCGCTGCGAAAGTTTTGTCCGAATTATTGAGCATCGTTTTTTTTTATTTAGCTGTTTAACGATCGCAGGTTTAAATCACCTAGTTAGGATCATGCAGCGATAGAACTCTGGACACAAAATGGCTGGTGTGACGTCACACGAGCGCTTATAACGTCACCAATGTGTGTCCTCACTTGTGTTATAGTCATTTTGGTATAGACCGGGGAGCGATACGACCATACGGTCATCAGAATCAGCTCCCCTCATGTTTGCTATAATGATTCACGGTTAATTAAGGTAATTGAACAATTTATAAAAAAAACGCTACTCCTTGGAGGGAGGGTTGATTAAGTTACGCAATATTTTTGGATTTGGTTAAAACGTTTGTAGTCGGGGTTTGAGTTTCAGCAGTTTCATCATTATACACTAACACAGATATATTTCTGTGACGTTTCGTCTGACCAAGGCCAGACCTCCACAAACATACATTATTCAACAGAACTCTTGAATCACTTATGATAGTTATCTTCACTCTTGCTACAACACCCTTGTGAAATTGGTGTACTCTTGGTGAACCATAAAATTCGTTGCGCGCTACCTGCTTTAAACAATACCAAATTGCTTGTACTCTTACAACGGGTGAATTCAGTTTGGTTATTGCGTAATGCAGTCATATTTTATGTTCTATGTTTTCTTAAATGTACGGGGTAAGCGGGTGCAATAAAAGTATTCTATTCTATAATTTGTTTTATATATAGTACAGGAAGTGACGTGAAACAAAGCATCACCCGACACTATAAACTGCCTTCAACTGCACGTAAATAACATTTGGACGCTGCGTCATACGAGCGTTTTTATATTTTAATACTGCACAGATAAAATCGCGGTATGACCACTTTCCACCGTCAGTCGAGTAGTGTGCTCTCGCTAATATACATGCGCCTGCCAACCTGTTTATAGTGAGTGTTTTGGAATCTGGGTGAAATTAATGTCGCAGTGAATTTTTAACGGCCACCGATTTCTCACCAAAAAATCTCTTCACAGACTTATCTCGCTATCGAAATTATCCAAGCTATATAGGCGCGTATTTTCATCTATCTCGGTTGATTTATTGGACACGAAATGGACATAACGATCGTTTCAAAATTTTGTTGTTATCGTTATTTGTCTCCGTCTCCATTTTTAAAAAATCGCTTTTCTCTTCGAATACTGGACCAATTGCTTTGAAATTTTCAGTGGTTAAAGATAAAATTTTTTTCCAGAAGGCTATTACTTTTTTTTTTGCTATGACGTCATCAAAATTATTGCTATCGGGTGGCGCTACGTGTCCATATATTTGAGCATAGCTCTCTTGTTTAGAGAAAGGATTATTTATAGCAAGCCAAAAAACGTCAAATTTTTAGTGAATCGTTCAAGAATAGCGCAAAATAGTGTTGGAAAAGGCGTAAGAATTTATATCTCACTGCAACTGTTGCAAAACTGCATTTGAAAAAAATAAAATAAAACGTTGAAAATTCGCAAGCAAAAACAATATCTAGTTTAGTACAGGGCCGAAAGGGTACAATAAAACTTTTCAATTCTTAGTATGTTTTATATATACCACAGGAAGTGGTGTCAAGCAAAACATTACTCGAGAATATAAACTGCTTTCAACTGCACAAATACAACAGGTGAATGAAGTTAGCATGTCCCGTCTTCACTTAAACTAGCATTTCTGCTTAAATAATAACGAAACAGTCGGGCGCCATTTTACGTAGATACGCCACTGAATGGATGTTTCCCCGAGTTCCTTGTTTATTTCCGTAACAATTACAAATCAGCAATGAGTTGACAATGACGTAACAATTGGAATATATGCCGCCGCTCAGACATTTTTTTTCTCCGACAGATATTCAAGCGTGGTTGTAACGTGTTATTCGTCTGTTTTTATTAGTGTTTCCAAAAATAGTTCTAAATCAAATAACTCAATTGTCATTTAGTCTTAGGAGAAACTCTAGTTTAGTTACATTAATTCAAAACTGATACCGCAAACGATGCGATGGACAAGCCTAAAATTAGTCATCCCTACCTACCGGCTCGTGGTTTATTGTTTTGAATAGTTTTGATTATATGAACCAGTTTGTAAGAGCCCAACACTCCGAAACACTCTCCAAATCAACGTTGAAAATTTTGCAATGTTTAAGTATAAGGAGAATCTTTCAGGGTTCAAGGGTCACGGAAACGTCCATACAAGCCCCTCAAATTAGAAAACATTTCTCAAACACACCAAGAGTTCTGTTCAGAGCGAATAAGATAGGCAGCATATAAAACCTTCGGATATTTTTACAGATGTTTCCTTAAAGCTAAGCACTCAGTTGTGTTATCAAACCATTCTATAAGCTAACATGAATCTGTTCGAAATACTCTTCTTTATCTCTCTCATCTGTGGCTTGGTTGCAGAGCTAAAAGTACCGGGTAAGATTTATTTCGGATACAAAAGCTGCTAGATTTTGTAATCAGTAATTTATTTTTCAACTATACTAAAATACACTTTATGGTTGAATAATAAAAAAAGGGTAAATGGTACTTCAGGGTGGAGCGAGTCGCGAGACGCCATTACTGGACGCCAAGAATTCAAAAATAAGAAGAACTTTTCAAATCATTTGCAAAATATACCAAATTCAACTAGTGTAGCAAAACCTATAATTTTTGACACAAGATGTTGCTATATTTGACTTGATAATATAACGTTTTATTTTTGACAGCTGGATCCTGCGTTTCCAAGATCGTTAACGGGAAACTCGTCCAAGTTGGAGATTGCAAGGTAAAATGAAGTTACTATATTATATTATACATGTTTTCCCACTTTGTTTCTAAGCAAGGCTTTGAGAAAGAGGCCACTGATCCTTTTAGAGTTACCATTTTTGGTACTCGAAGCTTTTCCTTTCGTAAGTTGCAACCCAATTTCAAATCCGACTTCTGCATGTCACGCAACTAATATAATCTAAAACAACTTACTTGATATATTCATTTTACTAATCATCTGCATTTTTTTTTACAGAAAGATGATGGATCCGGTGAGTTCGCTTTACTTAATGAAATATATTATGTTTGAAAATATTTCCTGACCCTGAACGAACGACACAGACTTTGAGTCATAATTACGCAACGGTCTAAAAATATTCTCAGCGTGTATAATAGTTGCAATATGCGATGGTTACAAAGCTAAGGTCATCGGAGAAAAAAAGTGTGAACAATATTATATGATGAAAATTGATTTAAAATGTCATACCCTACATGCAACTAAATATGTCATTTATTTACAGAAATCGCCAGATTGATCAAGAAGAGTCTGGACGAGAAGACAAAAGCTGAAAGTAATTTGATTATGAAATATGCCACACCCGTAAAAGCATTATTATTCTAATTTTATGATAATTCCGCATATCGCGTTGTCAATTGGCTGTCCTACCCAGCCGGTCGGTCTGGTGCCATTTTACATGGGTTCGCACTACAACCATTAGGCCCTAAAGCTTCACTCATGGCTATTTAATGGCGTGTGATAGAGCTCTATTCAGCAATATATGTAAAACGCACTCCTCTAAAAAAAAAATTTTACGCCAGAATTCCAAAATTTCTATTGAACTTGCGAGATTTTGTGTTTAGTAGAGGGTTAATAATTATTCCTAATTAATTAATTTTCATTTCAACGTTTTCTTGTGTTATTTTCCAACAGAACAACACCAAAATCACTATAGCAAGAATGTTTACTCTAAAATTCACGATTGTATTTACAGAATTTTCGAGTTCAAGGCTTCAATTGACAATTTCGATGACGTCACACCTCTAATTATTAGTGCACACGTCCCCCTCAATGCAAAAAATGTTACTTTTTCCGACGGAAAATGCGCGGAGAAAGACGTAAACATTCTAATGCGCGCCACTACGCGTGAAAATTACCATTAATTTTACGTTTTTTTCACGTTTGAAAAATCTCGATACCTCTGCCAAGTATGGTACAGTCGAAATCATATTTATCAAAACATCACAGTGCCAGGGATGATATGTATGACTGAAAATACATGCTGAACCAATAATAGGTCATTATAAAAGAGTTAATGTTTTGATTTCCTGTTTGGGTTGCGTCAACAATTTCACACATCTGAATGGCGATTTTGAAATCCACGCTATTCGCACTTTGCGTCACGGCTGGAGTCTCTTTTTTCGTGAAATATACCACCTTACTATAAAACATTGACTGTAAAACACCATTAATACCTTTTTAGAGTTGGACTAGGCTAAATAATACTGAGTATATGCCATCCGACGGTGTTGGGTTTTAATTAACCCAAGCCATAGTCTGTTACGACAACCATGTATTTAAACAGGTGACCGTACATTTGAACCCACGTACATTTGAACCCATGTGTATATTCGCGGGTTCAATCTATATGCGGGTGCTAAACCCATGGGTTGGGGTTAATAATGTGTTCAAATATCCGTAAAACAACAAAAATTTCCATAGGTGCAATGGTATGCCGGTGCAATCGTCGTGGGTTCAAATGTACGTGGGTTCAAATGTAATGGAACCATTTAAACATGATAGCTATTATGACATCTGAAACAGATTTGTTTTTATATTGATTTTTCTCTCCCCGAAATTATTGGGTTACAGCATTTTTAAAATTTTTGTTTCGGAAGGAAGTCCTATTGAATAAGCAAAGCCACAAAATTATAATCTCAGATCGTTCAAATATTCCGAAATTTCAATATAAAAGGACAACAATAATGTTTTTTTCAGTAAAATGTGACGTCAAATACGATTCGAAATGCTTCCGATCAGTTGTGTATGCTGAAGCCAACGTCACCTTCAATGTTGGGAAATTCATTTGCAAATCAATGAACAACGGAAAACCCGCGAATATTTACGACCTCGCGCACCTTCAGATGTTGCTATCTGATCTTCGCTCACTCAAAGCTGATGCTGGTTGGAAATGGTTTCGTGTCTGGACAGGAATGGAATATAAGGTTCGTTCTATAGGTCACAATCTAAATCAGGGGTGGCCAACCTTTCACATACAATGCGCCACGTTTTAAACATAATGTTTCAGATGCGCCGTAAATCTCTTGTATTCCCACGCCTAATGTCCGCTTCTTGTTGAAATTATATAAATTTATAATACACACACATATATACACACGTATTTTACGCTTCGCTTTTGTTGACAATGGTCATTTGAAGTTTGGATGAAAAAGGTGGTATTTAGGGGTCCTTTTCAGCATGTTGTGGGTTGATTTATAATAAATTTTTTAGGCTTGGGCAATTCAACTGGTTGTTCAATGGTTATTGGGAGATATTTGGGAAGTCTGGGCAATGGAAAATCCATGTTTCAAGCTGATAAATGACGATTTTCTATTTTTTCAGAAGTTCTGAACTTTTTACTTCACTTCAGGGAAAAATATTAAATTTTACTAATTTTTGCTAAAAGTCTAGAATGAATGTCATTAAGTTCGTCCAAAAGCTAAGGTCGATAATCGCCTGTTGTTTCTAATTCCAACAAGCCGTAAGTGGGCGACGTGGAGTAAGGAGAATATATTTTAGGTACAATCAAAAGTCACCATGTAAATCGCAAAAAAACGGCTTGGCTTGAGAAGCCAAGTGCAATTAACAATTTTGGCATGAAAAGGGTTAAAGATGCAATGCGCCACTTCTAATCATGCAATGCGCCACGTTTGGCGCATGCGCCATAGGTTGGCCACCCCTGATCTAAATAAACGGTTCCCAATGGAGGGCCCGTGGCCCGCCAATAAGGCCACAGAGCAGTTGAAGGAGGCACCCTGCTAGGCGAAAAACTGATTTTCCTTTTCCTTTACAAGTTCTATTGCTTGATAACGTTATTTAACAGGGTGTTTTAACTTTGCTGGGCATGAATCAATTGAAAATTTTAAGGGGATTTTGGATCGACCAATCTGGAATAATGCACAGGAGGCCATGAGTGCTAAAAGCTTCCGGATGGAAGCCATCAGCAAGCCATAAAAGGTTGGGGACCACCGATCTGAAATCTCAGCAAAGTTTGACTCATTTTTGTAAACTTCACCAGGTCCAAGGTTGACTCAAAGCATGTCTTTAATTAAATCACGAAATTACGACCTATTGATCGTTTTGATATTATCATTATGTTGTTGTTCTTTGCGTTACTTCTTATCGTTATGGATTCGCCCTGATTACTGGACTAATTACTTTGAAATTTCCATTGGGTAAAAATTCTATTTTTCGATAGAAGGCTATTACTTTAATTTTTTCCTAAATTTTCTATGAATCCTATGTAATCTGATATTTCATTCCAATTTCGCTGAAATAATTTTTACTCCTGGGAACACTGTTTTTAACCTATTTCAAGCGGTTTCGCAATCGAATATCAGGCCTACAGCGACAGTACTAGCACGTTACGTACCGCATATGATTTCTGGGGAATTAATGATAAAAAAAAAATTGCCCTGGGTGTCTATATACTTGAACATCACTCTCTTGATTAATTGTTGCAGGACAATCAGCTTTTGCAGTCAAGTGGAGAACCAATTACCATAGCAACAGGATTCTGGCATGTTCATTATCCGACAACCAATGCATCGCTAACTAATGTTATTCTTTATGTTGATGAAGATCCAGTGTCTGTACATCAGGGAATATCTGATATTTCTCTATCCGCGAGATGCCACGGTGTAATCTGTGAAATATAATACCAGCTCAAAACCAGACAGTACTCCATTGATGGGTTTTCATAGATTTTGAACGTTTTACTAGGCTTTTGGTTTTGTTTTTTTGTGATTTTCCACTTTTATGCTCGTGATTAGTGATGTTCCAAATATACACTAAGTTAATCTTTTTTTTTCAACCGCTAAAGAAAAAAATCAATTGGAAATATTACAAAAAAATAATAGTTACAAAGCTTCTTATTGGACACGTAGTGGACATAACGATCGTTTCAATATTATGTTGTTGTTCTTGTTCTTTGACACGTTTTCAAAAAGTCGCTTTTCTCTTCGAATACTGGACCAATTGCTTTGAAATTTTCAGTGGTTAAAGATAAAAATTTTCTCCAGAAGGCTATTACTTTTTTTTTCACTATGACGTCATCAAAAATTATGTGACTCTACGTGTCCATATATTTGAGCATAGCTCTCTTGTTTTTATTAATTACTTATATTATTTACTATTGTTAACCGTATAACCCATGCCTTGAATTGGACGCCTTGTTTATTGAAAATTTTTGCTCAGAAAGTAAAATTCATAGCTGTCTCCATGTGAATACTGTATATTATCAATTAGAATAATAAATATTGATTCGATTATTTGTGAGTTTGATATTATTTTGTTGGCTTATGGAAATCAATCAAAAAGTGAAAGGATCCGTAAAATGGAAATTTACTCATGCATGAAAATGACCACGCCCACCATATCCATAGATATCTAGGGTACGGGCAGATATATCAGGGAGAGAACCTTTGAAACAAACTTATTTTAGTAGTAATTTGGTAATTATGTGCTCTGCTTGAGACCCATATTAGGCAACTATTTTATAAGGTTCAAATAAATCGTTATTCAGCAAAATTCTACCAAAGCATGTTAAAGACTCTAAACAAGACGTGTGCAACATTTTTTTTGCCATATAACCAACTTCAGACACCTAGCCGAGCTACACAAATTTATTTTCATTCTTTTCGTGAGGGAGAAGCACAAGAAACCTTGAGGGAAGAGAATGTGGCTATTGCTCACACGTTACAGTAACAATCAGGGTTGGGACCCCGGAAAATCAAGATCCCGAAATTTGGACTTTTTTTTTTAATCCCGACCCTCAATTATTTTCCAAAAATCCCGGGATTTTATGGCTTTGCTATCTTCATATAGATATTCTCACAAATGGTAGGTTATACCATTTTATTTGATACCTATTTTGAAAAAAGTCATCCACGCTTACAGTTTGAGTTGAAGTGGAATTATTGCGTGAAATTTTTCTCAAATTGTACCAAGGAATTATTATTAGACACGTAGTGGACATAGCGATCGTTTCAATATTATGTTGTTGTTGTCCTTGTTGTTCTTTGACACCTAGTGGAAAATCCAAAAAGTCGCTTTTCTCTTTGATTACTGGACCAATTGCTCTGAAATTTTCAGTGGTTACAGATAAAATTTTTCTCCAGAAGGCTATTACTTTTATTTATTTCAACTATTTTTGTTAGCTCTGTGAATTTTTGTTCGCTATGACGTCACCGAACGTTCTGCGGCCATCGGACGCCATTTTGTGTCCCACTGTACTGCTCTGCCGAGTCGGTGACGTCATAACGGAAAGCAGAAAAACACGTTTTTGACCATGCTACTGCAACGTGCGCTCACAAACATACGTCGTGGCTCATATTTTTCGCCTAATGGTTCCGCAGGTAGCTAGCTGTTGAATCATTTCAAAAATATATTTTTCTTCTTTTTTGGCGGCAATAATACAAACGTAAACGTAGGTCAATGTGCAACTTGGTTGTGAACTGCATTTCCAGCTCACCACCCACTGGTAATTCTAGGCGGCTATTTCAAAATTCTTACATGTCAATATGAAAAATAAAAAGATTTTGACTACAATGCTTCTACATATACTTTCATATACTTCCCACTATGTCGCGTTCGCAAATGGTAGATGCCACTCGTCAATACAATGTGGTACATCTGCTTGCATTTTAGTAGTGCACATTGACCATTGTGACGAAAGATTTGCTGACTTGACTGACATAACTTCAAAATTCAACGCTACAGCGATTTTCATACTAAAACATAATTTGTCTTAATCATTGACGAAAACTTCTTTACGACTTTTTATTAATATAAAAGTTTACATTAAAGTTTATCGGCGATATATACGGTATATATATAAAGAGAGAGAGATTTATTTTTCCGTCAACCAAAATAAAATAACAGTCATCGTAATAATGAAAATAATATTTGGTAATAATAAATTAGTTTGGTATAGAGAGGAGGGAGTGATACGAATAGACGGCCATCAAAGTCAACTCCTCATAGTTATGTACGAGAGGATTGTTGGACTCCTCACCGCCGTGGGGTGGTTCACGTAACCGCTGGTCGGTTACGCCTTACGGCTTCCTCTACCATCAAGTCCATGCTTCAACCAACTACCTCAATGTGATCAAACCATGTCATAACTCATAACCTCGCAGAATGCTATTTCCGCGACCCTGAAAAGCTGTTAGTATTGTCACTTTTTAACGCTTATTTTGAGTGTTTTGGAGAGTGGGCGCTTGTAAACTGGTTTATATGTTTTAAAAGCCATCCCTTTTTTATAATAATATTCAAACACGTGCTCCTTACAGGTACTGACAGCTACTTTTGGGGTAGTCTACAGCAGCTATTCTGGGACAGATTTTCGAATATTGCAACTAAACTATGGCTCCCTGAAAGACATAATTACAACTGAGGTAATTAATTTACAACTAATTATTGAAAACTCATCCGAAAACTAACAAATAGATAGATAAGTATTTGTTTAGGATGGTTCATCGACCAGCGGTTACGGCTTCCTCCACCACCTAGTCCGTGATCTGAAACAAACAACTTGCAAACTAATCTCATACCCGACGTGAAGTCTGAAGTGGTAATCGAATGAGAGGCCGTAGTTCATCATATGACTGTATGATTAAGCTGTCTTATCTCCGGTGCTCCCGAAGTATGCGCACCAAAATGTCGCATAACCTAAACCCTAACCTGGTACACAACCTGAGTTCAGGTTGTGCGCCATCTTGGTGCGCATACTTCAAGAGGTTCCATATATTATAAGTCATATCCTAAGGTGTAGTTGGTGCATCGTACGTTACAATTGGCATATCAACTTTATTATTACCCTGCGTGGGTTCGAATAATGTGGGAGATAATAATGTGCGAGCGGATTGATGTCCTGCTCGCCGTCGTGTGGTGGTTCACAGCAAAGTTCATGACCCTTTGTTCACGGCAAAAAAGATAATTTTTCATCTATAACCCCTTATTTGCCATAACTTGAAGAGATCTCTCCTAAGTGTAAAAGCGCAGCGGTGTGGCTCATCTTGATAAGCATTAAGAGATATGCGCTACCGCACCTCTGCGTGGGATCGCAGATTATAATCCTACGCCGGGAAAGTTGAGCGCGAGGATTGCTGGACTCTTCGCTGCCGTAGGGTGGTTCACGTAACCGCTGGTCGGTTACGCTTCCTCCACCATCAACTTCATGCTTTCGAAAAAAAATAACTGGCTAACCTATCTCATACCCGATATGAACTGGCCACCAAACCAGAGACCGTGGTTCGCCATATGATTAAAACTTCTCCTAAATGGGTAAGCATGGCGGTGTGGGTCATCGTGCTAAGCGTTAGGAATACTCTATCCTACCCTAAATAGGCACAAGGGTCCAGCGATTAAAATATTTCCCGTTCGAATTCCATGCTTACCAGCTTACTCAAGGTGAAATAAATTTGGTACGCAATACCGAATGGGAAAATTATGTTTTTTTTCAAAAATAAAAGTACTTTCCTAAATATCTCTGGATATCAGTGGCCGCTGTACATGGTTTCGTACCGAAAGGCACTAAGCATCATTTAAAAAAAAATGTGACAAAGACTTTGAACTCTGACCGCACCCAAGATTACTCGTTGAATAAGCCACATGAATTATCTAGTCCAGAGTATATATTTTCTGCAAAAATGTATATAAAATTTAGGATAGGCCTGAAGGTGAAAATTTATGCATAATTATCCGTACATGATTTCAACTCAACGGACGAAGGATTCAGAAAAATAATTGATAAATGAATTGAACTTGTAAAACAAATAAAGTACAAAAGCCAAAATTAATAATTTTTGCATAAAATTAGCTGAACATTCTTAAACAATAGGTGCTGTAAATTGTAAAACCAAATCTTTTTTTAAATGTAATTAATTCAAAATAGTTAACTATAACACTGCTTAAATCCACTTCGTTAATCTTTGTGACCGTTCACTACCATACTGAGTATACATTGCTACACTAGAAAATACAGAAAAACTAAACTACTCTAGTAATGTGAAATTCCATCTTCATTTCTGAGTCTGTTTAGCCACTTGCAGTGATTTGTGTCGGCTTATTTTCCTGGAAATGTAACAATTATAAATTAGAGCAGGAGAAAATATTGTGCATGGAAAAATTGCCATATTAGGACAAGGTTGAATCTAATCCCGCCCCTGTTTCCCAAACTCATGTTAGACTAAATCTGATGCCAGATACATGAGAACTATATTTTGACCACAAAAACTTTGTCATTTCCAATTTTCCTTGGTTTAAGTCGAAACTTTAGCTTTACAGTCCAAAATTTTGACACTTGATCAAAGCAACTCGAAAGTACAACTAAGCCCAGTAAAAACTTTGATTTGGGACCCCACTCCACGTCCACAGTGTTATCAATGATCTGACTATTATATAGTGTAATAAGTGCAATTACCGAATTTATTACGATGCCAGGGACTCTTTTTTCTTCTGTAGATGACTGATCTGAAATAAAAAAAATTATATTTGAGCAACATCCAATGCATAAATGCAAATACCTAAATAGGTGCCATGTTTTCAGTAAAAGGTACTTATAGAGTACATTGTTCATGATATCTTGAAAAATATACAAGGATTGGAGTTATAGGGCATCATTTCTAATTGAAAAATTAAAAAGAGCCAAAAAATCAACATTATTACATCACTATTTTTCTACCTTTTGCATAATCAATCAGCTTCAAGAGTTCGACCATTTTCAACGTGCATTTGAATTCCTCCGCAACCTCTTTGCTTTCTATGAACTTGAGATCCCTGGCTTCAGAAATTCCAAGCTCATCACACTTGAAAAGTAGGCTCTTCATTTTTGCATCACCAAATCTCTTCCCGAATATTTTCAATAATTCCACATGAAGGCTAGAATTCCATAGTTCGGGCAAAGCTAAAAATGTCAGTGTCAATATTCTGAGATGCTGTTTTAGACTTTAAAACGGAGAGGGAAGGAAAGGAGTGCTGTAAGTCGGGAGTCTAAAGTTAACCCAGAATCAGGGCCAGAAATGTTTCAAACATGGGTAGATTGTATATGTTCCCCAAAAACCATGGTTAAATTTGCTTTACATTACAGATAACTTTTTATTTTACCTTAAGCTAAATTTTTCGGAGAACACCTTTCTCAAAGGAACGTTGGCTTAAAACTGGAAGCCATAAAAGGTGTTGTGATGAGCCGGTTGTGCACAAAGCACAAAGTAAAATCATACAGAATTTCTTTATTATTAATTTTACCTTCTAATTTCTTGGTGTTCCACGGGGCTGGATAAAAAGCGCAGGCATAAAAGGTTTGTGAAACGCTGTTCTATACAACATTTGTATCATTACTTTTTTAATTTATTTACCATTTATCATTTTATCAATGAACAGGTCAGACTCACCACTATCATCTGTAAATTTCCTTATTCCAGCTTCTGAATATTGAGCAACTGATGTTCCATCACCGATTAAAGCTTTGCTTTCATCATCATCTATGTACCTCCAAGGATATGGATCTGAGAAAATTACTCGGTTTGTTAGCAATGGTTTCCTAATATCTAAGCTGGCATTGCAGGTAAAATATCTCGAGTTAGGATAGGATTTACATATTTATGCCGTGGGAAAGGAAAGCCACTAAGGCGGCTTAACCATATGGCTAACAAAGGCCTCTCAACCGGTTACCATTCTATGTCGATTATGGGATTAGTTAGTTATTTGTTTTCGGAAGCATGGACTTGATGGTGGAGGAAGCCGTAACCGACCAGCGGTTACGTGAACCACCCTATGGCGACGAAGAGTCCAGCAATCCTCTCACACATACCTATCCCGTCATGGGATTCGGACCTGTGAATCCACGCAGAGTAATCAGAGGTGCGATGGCGAGCGTATTCCTAACGCTTAGCACGATGAGCCACACCGCACAGTTCCCTTTCCTTTCCCCCCTAACTACGGTTATGCCAACCCAGTTATTTTGAAAATAGTACATATTGCTAGATGTAAGTGGTTGGTCGTACAGCACCTTGCTCAGAGCAGAATGTGGTAATATGCATCATAGGATATATCAAATTGTTTCACTAGCTTATCTCAAAAAAACAACTAGTTGAACATAAAAAATGTGGTCTTGTTTAGTAGAAAATGTTATTGAGATACCATCACTAAATGGTGCAATATCAGCACATATCTACCCGAATTGCCCAAGAAAAAAAAAACAGCATAACAGTTCTTACCATACATTGCAGTTCGCACATGATCCTTTGCTAAGAGTTCTAAACTCTCTAGACCGCCATGAAGAGATTTCACCCCCAACAAATAGGAATGGCCAGCTTCAAGGCCATCAACGACACAAAACCTATTGGTTGTTGATTTTATGACTTCTTTCCCAGTTCCGAGGTCATGTGCTGTAACAATGTACCTATCTGCTCCCTCGCCAGGATCATACGAGGCAAATATCTGAGTACTCGGTGATTTGGGCCCTTCCTTGATAATGAGGTTTTTTGGTGCTGAAAACAATTAAACACATACTGGTACCTTTGAAACTAACAACCTTAATAATTGATAAAAAGATGTGAGATTGTCCTGACCAACAATGACAATTACACAAGCATAAAAAGTCCTGGCCGAAATGTTTTATTTAAATTCTGATCATTTTAAGCTAGATTTGTCAATTGAACAATTTGCTTTCGATTCGTCAAGCAATGCTACCAATAGAAAAATTCTACCTTATCTCTTTAAGAATGATGTAAAAACTTACTGCAAATTTTTTTTCTTTGTTGCTCATCGAATGCTTCTTTCTTATACATATCTTCAAATGCTTTTTCTGCAATCTCTTGACTACAACTGAACAAGGATAAGTATGTATTATTATTTTTTTGAGACAAATGACAAGCGTCGAAGCTTCGATGTATTATTATATTTCAGTAATATTTGAATGCATGTTAATAAATGTTTGCTTGATCGAAATAAAAACATATTCGAGAATAATTGGCGCGGCGGTGTGGCTAATCATGCTAAGCGTGAGGAATACGCTCGCCACCGCACCTCTGATTACTCTGTGTGAGTTCGCAGGTCCGAATCCAATGCGGGGATGAGTATGTTCGAGAGGATTGCTGGACTCCTCGTCGCCGTAGGGTGCTTCCCGTAACCGTTGGTGGATTAGAATAGTACGGGTATTTTCATTTCACTAAACTTACATTTCCACTGACACTATTTTGACTCCTCCTAGTTGTTTGATAATCTTGTCTTGATAATCTGAATATCCAGCTGTAACTCCCATAGTTTCCAGATGACTCTCAATTTTTTCGAAATTTTTTTGCAACCTTGAAGTCAGTTCTCCACTGTTGACAAACTCCTCAAATTCATTTTCGCTGTCAATTGGAAGCACCACCTCATATATAGCAGACTTATGTGCGAACGGTAATACTCTCATACTGATGGTTTTTTTTAATATCAGGGATGTTACACCAATCGCTGCAACAGCTACACCACCAGTAATGCATCCCATCATAAATTTACTATCCGAATTTGTTTTCAATTTCCATTCTCTGCATTTAATGAAGTCTTCATGCTTCACTTCTAGTGTATTATCATCATATTTAACCTCAATATGTCTTGTTTTGTCTTTAAAATCAAATTCAAATGGAGTGGACGTTGTGCCCAGCCCCATACTGTTATTTTTTTTTTTTTAATATGTGTTGATATAAGAATACAGTAAGATTCATCACATTACACGTCATCATCCAATATGATTCCCATCATTATTATTGTATGTTCCATTCAGCATTAGTATCATCCAATTTTTTCAAATACATATTATTATTATAATCAAATATTTAGGTTATTAACAATAGTTACATTAAAAACAAAAATGAAAATTAGCAAATGAATAATTCACACTATTGATAATAAATTAATTTAAAACAATCTTATCTTACATCTCTCAAAAACATTGGCATAATATATTAACATATTTGTTACCATTCCTATGCCTTTCTAAACTAAGTCTGTGTTTCAACCCCCTCTTGATTTTTTCTTTCACCTTTGTTACATCTGGAGTAACTCCTTGAAATATAACATCATTTCGTTCCATCCATACTTCAAACCTAACATCTGTAACTGAAATTACCAGGACTAAATCTAATCAGGCACATCTGTACTCACCTGCCATCATCAAGTCATCCATAGTACAAAAAACCCAGATACTGCAACATACATGGTCATACCACATACCGCAACCATTTTCCGAACCTGCCTTGAAACCATGGCATATCTGCCGCGGTAACGGCAGTACTTTTTTTTTTTTTTTAATTTATTAGACATGTTCATTTTTAAACATACTAAATTTATACACACTTGATTTATAGTTCAAATACAATTCCTTAGTATTTCAAATTCTCTGACAAAATTTGGTGATTTTCTATTTTTTTCAATGTTGAGTCTGTAACTGATTGCAGTTTTTATTTGTTTGAAAACTAAGTGCTGATTAGGGGGACTACCTTCGAATATAACAGAATTTCTTTGTATCCATATTTTATATCTAGTGATTGAAAATGTTTAATAATAATATCTAAATCTCGTCTTGTAATGTTGGAATGTAACAAATAGCTTAAATCCAATAAAACACAAGATTCATAATCTTTCAAAAGTCTGGCATTATTTAATTTCCTACCAGTATTTTCCATAAAATCAAAAACATAATCAAAATATTCACAACTCATAAATAGATGGCTAACAAATTCTGGTTCTTTTCCACATAACACACACATATCATTTCCTGCAATATTTCTTATTCCAGGTTTTGTTTTTACTGGTAAAATATCCCACATTAACTTGAAATTAAAGGTTTTCATATAGTTTGCCAGAATATTATTATGAATATTCTCACATGCAATATTTAAATTACAATTGCGTAGAAAAATTAATCTGTCCCCAGTCATAGAAATAACAATTTTTTTATAAATAGTTTTATGCATATCTTCTTTTATATCTGTACTACTTATGTTATGCTTTCTTAAAAATTCTAATATTAATCTATACTCACTTTGAGGACAAAATCTATGTGAACATGTATTTTTAGTTCTAATCCCCCAAAATGTACTAAGTTGTTGTCCAATACTGTATTCAACAAAGGACATACAAATATTATTGTAATCCTCATTATAATCACATTCTCTAGCTTTATAATAACCCAAGACACTAATTATGTACATGCACATTGTAAAAATGGGTATGTCAATAATATCATAACCCCCCAAATTTTTTGGTTTTCACAAATTCCCTATTTTCAGTATGCTTCTTCCATTGAATACAAATTTTTCCACCATGTCATTCACCCTTTTTCCTATAGTATTCGGCATCGGAAATACTTTTGATAAATATAGAAACTGCGGCAACACCTTTAATTTTACTAATATACATTTGCCTTCTAAAGTCAACTTGATATCCTGTAATTTTCTTACAACATTTTTTGCTTCCTCTAAACATTTCATCCAATTAATTTGACACATATCTATATTCCTAAATGGGTGCTCCCGAAGTATGCGAACCAAGATGGCGGACATCGGAACGTAACGTGGATAACAGGTTAGGGTTAGGCGATAATTTTTTTCCAATTTTCCTTATTTTAGTCCTATTATCAGTTCGAAGACTAGCCAAGAGTCTCCCGTAGTATTTATGCCTAAAATTATGGCCTAACCCTAGTCTAGTACACATATTACATTCCGATGTCCGCCATCTTGGTTCGCATACTTCGGGAGCCCCCCCCCCCCCCAAATGTAACATTTAATATTTCCATGAATTCAACTTCATTGATGTCTTGTTGTGGGTTTATTTGTCTCCAAATTCCAAGTCTCATTAATTTTGTTTTAGATTTGTTCAATTTCATACCTGTTGCTATTTCATGCCTTTCAATAACTTTCAATGCTTCTTTTATAGAATTTTCTTTACCTAATGCCAGAGTCACGTCATCAGCAAATCCAAGACTTTTCAATTTATTATTTTCTGGTACAACACTTTCACGAATATTATTTTCTGTGTTTATATATATTAGAAGTGGTTCTATTGCAATTATAAAAATAAACATACCAATTGGATCATCTTGACGAATTCCTCTTTCAAATTTAATTTTAGAAGTCAAGTATCCATTTAACCCAAAGTGGCTGAATTTTCCCTCGACTTCACAGCCGTTGAACAAAGGACAGCAAGAAAGAAAAATGAAGCACAACTTGACGACACTCAGATATATCTCGGATCCAAATATTTTAAAGAGAAATGAAAGTTGTGTGAGTGCAATGAAGCTGAAAGCAGACAGCTGTGACAGAAATCATTTAAAAAAAAGTGCCAAAAATAGTCATGAATGGTTTTTTCAATTAAAAATTATTATGGACTGAATTCCTACTAAATTTCATTGAGTGAAAGAGAAAGTAGTCCGGTTAACTTTTTGCACAAACTCAATTCAATGTTAATATTGAGGAACATACGAGAATAAAAAAGATTTTGGGATTATGCAGTTCAGATGACAGGTAACAATGTGTTTTGTATATTTTATTCTGAGAAAAGCTCTAGGCTGGCAGTCACTGATGGTCACATAGCTAAAAAAAAACACCAGACATGTAAGTAAATCCTAAATCAATAAAACGATTGTTTTTGGGCTCAAGTTAAACCAATTTTCCTAATTCAACAGTTGAATTCTTATTTCAGTAGCTGTTTGGTTTATAAACTGCACAAAGTCCGAAGTGGATCGAGTGTTTTCCTTGACTTCACAGCTATAGACAACACGCATATAAACATTCATGATATATAATAAACAATAAAGATAGATAGTTTCACCAAACATACAACACTATATGCTTGCATGGTGATTTTGGTGTTTCCAATAACATTGCAGCTTATAGACTTATAGAGTCTCCATGGCTGCTTGTCTAGAGCCTTTCTCAAGAGAAAATAACTCGACCACATTGTTTCCTGTCGTCTGATCTGCATTTACCCCCAAACAATTCCATTCATGTATGTTTCTCAATATCCACATTAAATTTGGGGCGAGTTTATGCAAAAGGTAACTGGGCTACTTTAACATTTCTTTTACGCAATGTAACTGAAGTGTAACCAACTGTAACTTAAACAAAGACGTTAATATTACCACTAGGTAGTATTCATCCATCCATTCTATACAACTAGTTACTTGTGTAACTAGTACAAGTGCACGAGCAATTACCCAAGAATATTGAGTGTTCTTTAACATATTCTCTCTGAACTAGACTCTGCACAAACAACTACTCAAAATTAAGTCCCAACTAAAGTCCCTAGATTTTGACTAAAATAGCTATGGCCATGATCACACAATGAGGGACTTAGAGCTAAATAAAAATAAAACGATTTGTTAGATATGATTTTGCCCGCCTTATTTGTTTCTAAAACTTTTCATTATTTACGTTCCATCCACACATTTTCAACGTATTTTTTGAATAAAAGATATTTTCAATACCACAAAGATTTATCGCCAACACTTAGGGCCGTACATTTTTGCGTAAAAGCCTTGTGACCTACCCTAGTTTGTGTAGGACACGCTGATATATTTTGAATGTATATCACATACAATACCACAATCCACTGCCAAATAGGGGCGTACACGTTTATTCTGTTAACATTTCTTTTACGGAATGTAACTGAAGTGTAACCAACTGTAACTTAAACAAAGATGTTAATATTACCAATAGGTAGTATTCACACCCATAAGAAGTAGGCTACACAGGGTACTAAACTACATCCGCATACAATTGTGAATACATTACAATTGTAATTTTATGATTGGTTATGTACTGATTTATTAGTGTGATTTTCTACCATTCTGCCATTGGGGGCGGATTTAGTTTAGTGCCCTGTGTAGCCTACTTCTTATGCATGTGTCATTCCTAAATAACAATTCTTAAATTTTATATGAAAGACAATTTAATCCAGCTTATTCAATGACATACCGGTACCTTTTAAATTCCTCATAAAACAGCTTACGTTTGACAGCAAACTTGATCATATATACATTACAAACTCATTATCTGAACTTCATGATGAAAGAAACTAGAATACCAATCTCAAAATCCAATTTCTATTTCATAAAACAAAATTATTCCAAAATATGACATAATGTTTTCTTTTTAGTCTAAACTTATATTTGCTGCTCTTTTTATCGTTGATAATAAGCTACTACTTTCTCCGGGTAAAATACCAGCTAGATTGTGAAAAGCCAAAAAAGCACACGCGACCAATTTCAGCGTTCCACTCATACTTGTCCATCGATTATTGAACTTAATATAAGATGGTATTTATCAGACTTCACCAGATAACAAATTCTTCGCCAATAAGGTGAGAAGATTGTTTTATGATTTTTCGGCGATAAGTCATAGCGGTCTAGAAATTATATTTCAATTATTTTACAAACTATGGGAACACTATTCTATTCGACCTCCATCGATGTCCTTATACGTATTCTTTTACTAAAACAAAACAAAAGTGATGAAACAACAAAACAACGTCTTGCTTCCCCCCGACGCGCTGTTAACAATACTACGTTGAAACGTGATATTTGTTTTCACTCTTTTCGAAGTATGCTTTACTGACACCAGTACCAAGCCTGAACGATGTTCAACTATTGCTGATTTGTAATAGTATCTTCGGCCTATGGTAATCCAGTAGCTTGGTGTTGTGTTTTTATAGAGGTAGACAATGTCTACCTAATGTGTGAGAGGTAAACTGATATTCCAAAGTTTGCTTTATGACGTTAAAAACCTACCCCGGAAAGAGAGAGACCATTTCAGGGTCGCGACCCCGAGGATGGGAAGGATAGGATTTACATATTTATCCCGGGGGAGAGGAAAGCCGATAAGACGGCTTATCCATACGGCGAACCACGGCCTCTCGTCCGGTTACCATTCCAAGTCGGGTATGGGATTAGTTATATTGTTTGTTTGCGGAAGCATGGACTTGGTGGTGGAGGAAGCCGTAACCGACCAGCAGTTACGTGAACCACCCAACGACGGCGAGGAGTCCAGCAATCCTCTCGCACATAACCATCTCTGCATAGGATTCGAACCTGCGAACCCAGGCAGAGTAATTAGAGGTGCGGTGGCGAGCGTATTCCTAACGCTCAACCCGTTGAGCCACACCGCCGCGCCGGAATCACTGATCAAAGTGTTACATTTTACCAGTGGCGGCGCGTCAATAGGGCCAACCGGGGCAATGCCCCGGTTGTTTTTTTCCATATAATAAAAAAAATTCAAAAAATACCTCAATATCGGTTGCACAGACTGTCTACACTAGCCATATTCTCCCGACATGGTTCATTTTTCGCTCGCAGAGCCTTCGCCGAACGTCGACGGGGCGACGCCGATTTTGCCCCGGTTGCTCATCGTATATTGTATTCTCTCTTTTATCTTCCACTCGCCGCGTTTGTCTCCTTTGTTTTCTGTTTCTTTTACTAAATCATCGGGGCCGATCGGGGCTAGCCCCGAAATTATGACGACACAATGCCGACGTTTCTTACAACAACGTGTTGACATATTCACGCATTCCTTCTCGTTCGTTGGTTGCTTGAAGAGTTGATAGTTTCCTCGCCTTCGTTTTTGTCGCTTGTTTCGCTATTTGAATCAGTTAGAGACCTTTAGTCCATTTGCTTTCGATTTTCCACATTCCTTTTGAGCTCCTCACTTCTTTCCGGATTCGCATTTCTTAGCCTTAGACCTCATAATGAATAGGTTGATGCACTACTTCGCACTCCGTTTTCGCAGCTGCCGCTGGAACAAAAATTAGAGGTACAACGTCTTGGGCCTTATCAACCAAAAAATTGTTCACTGGAACAATCCCATGACGGAGGAAAGCGTCGGCGTACATTCTGCGCAGAAACTTGGTATAAAAAACACCAATGGTTGTGTTACAGCGAGGACAAAAATGCACTTTTTTGTTTTTATTGCCTACTTTTTGCTACCGCCCGTGACTCACGTTGGTGTAAATTTGGTTTTAGAGATCTTAAACATCTTTCCGAGCGTGCCAGGGATCATCAATCTCCTATGGAGCATCTGGACAATGCAGTAAAATACCGAACATTCGGAAATGTTAATATTGCAGCACAGTTGGATGAAGGACGCGCGGTTTCTATCCGTCGGCACAACCAAAACGTCGAGAAAAAAATTAATTAAATTATAAACAAAAACCCTGCAAAGTCATTGCGTGAATCCTGAATGTTATTTCGAGTTCAAATGATGATTTAATAAAATCGGCAATAATGGCAATTCTACTGGTCAAATGATAATTTCTTGGTAAAATTTAGGAAAAAAATTCGCACAATAGCTTGTTACCTTGTTTTGCATTTATAATTTTACGAAACGACGTTAGTGCGCTGTATGCAGAACTAGGAATTGAAACTATAACCTAATACGACTCCTCAAATTTGTTATTTTCTGTTTGTTCTCTGTTATGTTCTGTTAATTCTCGCGGAATTCGAAAAATTGGTTCAGTGACGCGCAAGTACCGTGTCCGAGCAAAGCGCCTGGGTAATCGATATATGAGTAGCAAAATGACATGCTAATACTTAGAGAATGACATCGACTGGTTATTGTTACGTGACGATACACGGCGCCGCGTTTTCGGTAGGCGATCCAAGTTCGCCCCCCCAAAATTATGGAAAGTGTCCGCCCCTGCTCTCAAGTCTCATGGTCTAAATCCCACCCAGAATTCAGTTTATATTTATTTTGTGATATAGATAACTTATCCTGTTGTGTTCAAAAAGATTGTGAAACATTGATGAGTGTAAATCATGCATTTATAAACTGTGCATGGATTTGCGCTATGTGAAGGAGTGTTTATAGGAAGGCAACCAGTAACACCACTAAAACGGATATGCCTCTAGTGGTTTTCGATCGAGCTAGTATTCCACCAGTACAGTCAAGGGATTCCGCAAGTTTATATTTAAATCTGAGTCTATATCGGACATGGGCAAAGTACGGCCCGCGGGCCAAATCCGGCCAGTTGGGTAATTCAATCTGGCTCACCTGATGCTGCCACAACTAAACTGAAATCAAATTTTGATGTTTTAGCTAAAATAGCTCAAGAAAATTGCTGAGATTGCGCTCAAATTAGATTTGACACGAGGCGTATTGTTTTCTACCTTTGCTATGTAACACTGTTAATATTGTTCATAAAATGTAACTTTTTACGTCACCCCTTTAATGGCCGTCAGTCTAAATGGGCAAAATTTTTGGCCCCTGGTTTAAAAACCGTGCCCACCCAGGGTCTACATTATTACATATATATTGTATAAGTATAAGTTATGGCTACTGTTTAATTGTGATCAAATACCATATAGCGAAGACTTGAAGTGACTCTGGTTATCTAACAGAAATGACTCGATTTTGTCCTTGACCATTCGCCAGTGAGACATAAGGTAGCTTTAAGGATGACTTAACTCATGAATATAGACAAATTCGAGAATAATGCTAAATTTTTTCATAATACCGGTAGCCCACCGTAAGAGTGTTCTATCATGCATCTGCGCTAAGCACCTATTACAACTTAAATATTCTTTCAATTCATAGCTGTATCTTGTTATGTCAGTATGTTTGTATCCATTGGGCAATTAGAATGGTATTTTTATGAACTTACCTTTCCACCGACACTATTTTGACGAATTGTAGTTGTTTGATGATATTGTCTTGATAATCTGAATATCCGGTTGTAACCCCCAGAACTTCCAGATGACTCTCATTTTTTTCAAATTATATTTGCAAATGCGAAATCAACTTTCTGTCGACATACTCTTTGAATTCATTCTCATGGTCACTTGGAATTGTCACCTCAAATATAGCACATGTAAGTGCAAAGGGTAATGCACTTAAATTGCGGCTATTTTTAAGGATCAGGTATGTTGCACCAATTGCTGCAACAGCTACACCACCAGTAATGCACCCCATCATAAACATACGATCCGTAGTTGATTTCAACTAAATTTCTCTGCATTTAATGAAATTTTCATACTTCACCTCTAGAGAACCATTGTCATATTTAACCTTAATATATCTCGTTGTATTTTTCAATTGAAATTCAAGTGGCATATTCAATTTGAATATACTATTACTAGTTATCTGAAAACTGTAAACAAAAAATTTATATGTAAATTTTTGCAGTATGACTGAGCCTACAAACCAAGAAATATCTGAACTCCCAATTCCAGTTGCAAGTCATAAAATACTGAGAAAAGAAGGGATAAATAATATTATTAAAATCTTGAGGTAGCCCACATACACCCAAAAAATATTTCAATGCAAGATTTTTTGGGCATGACTTAGTGATCTAGTATAAAGCAGTAAACTTGGTATAAATGCTGTGTATCCAAAGATATAAAACAAATTAAAAACAGTTCCACAAGGCCTACGTATGCCAATGTTCGGAAAAATAATTCTGATATTCAATTTCAGCAGTGTAATACGATACAGGCATATACGTCCTGATGCCTATCCTAGTTTTGGTAGGATACGCTAATATATTTTGAATGTATATCACAAAAATACCACAAAGAATATATCTCCGAACTATACAGGGCGTACATTTTTGCGTAAAAGGACTGTGACTCATCCTAGTTTGAGTGTGACATGCTAATATATTTTGAATGTATATCACCTACAATACCACAAAAGATTCACTGCCAAATAAGGGCGTACACGTTTATTCTGTTAACATTTCTTTTACGCAATGTAACTGAAGTGTAACCAACTGTAACTCAAACAAAGATGTTAATATTACAACTAGGTAGTATTCATCCATCCATTCTATACAACTAGTTACTTGTGTAACTAGTACAAGTGCACGAGCAATTACTCAAGAATATTGAGTGTTCTTTAACATATTCTCTCTGAACTAGACTCTGCACAAACAACTACTCAAAATTACTGAGTGTTATCCAATATATTCTCTCTGCACAAACAACTACTCAAAATTAAGTCCCAACTAAAGTCCCTAGATTTTGACTAGAATAGCTATGGCCATGATCACACAATGAGGGACTTAGAGCTAAATAAAAATAAAACGATTTGTTAGATATGATTTTGCCCGCCTTATTTGTTTCTAAAACTTTTCATTATTTACGTTCCATCCACACATTTTCAACGTATTTTTTGAATAAAAGATATTTTCGATTTACTACTTGCTATTTGTAGCCTATTGCTAGCTAGATATTTTTCAGGTGGGGTGCGAGACTTGACAAATTCTTCAAAGGGGGTTAAAAAGTTCAAGAACCTCTGATACAAAAGAAAGCCCATTAGCGCAATACTGGCAAAAAACGATCTAGAAAAGCAAGTTAAATAAAAGTGGCGAAATTTACTGGCATTTGTTCACAATTAAACAGTAGTCATAACTTATACAATATATATGTAATAATATGGGCCCTGGGTGGGCACGGTTTTTAAACCAGGGGCCAAAAATTTTGCCCATTTAGACTGACGGGCCAAAAAAGTGTGACGTAAAAAGTTACATTTTATGAACAATATTAACAGTGTTACATAGCAAAGGTAGAAAACAATACGCCTCGTGTCAAATCTAATTTGAGCGCAATCTCAGCAAATTACTTGAGCTATTTTAGCTAAAACATCAAAATTTGATTTCAGTTTGGTTGTGTCAACATCAGGCGGGCCAGATTGAATTACCCAACGGGCCGGATTTGGCCCGCGGGCCGTACTTTGCCCATGTCTGATATAGACTCAGATTTAAATATAAACTTGCGGAATCCCTTGACTGTACTGGTGGAATACTAGCTCGATCGAAAACCACTAGAGGCATATCCGTTTTAATGGTGTTACTAGTTGCCTTTCTATAAACACTCCTTCACATAGCGCAAATCCATGCACAGTTTATAAATGCATGATTTACACTCATCAATGTTTCACAATCTTTTTGAACACAACAGGGATAAGTTATCTACGGTATATCACGAAATATATTAACTGAATTCAATATTAATTTTTATGATGTTAATTAATTTGAATTTAAACTGAACCACACTAACAGACTAATATAATATCTCACATCCTTCAACCTAAACTACACGGTAATATAACATTAAATCTTAATAGTATCGCCCAAATCGGTAGGATATATACGGGGTGTCCACAAAGTCCTTTTTACAATTTTTCATGTCAGTTCTCAATATATCTTACCGTAACTAGGCTTGTTGGTGTTATGGCTTGTGGGTTATGGGTTGTGACTTTGTAAAGTGTCACGTAGAGTCGTAGACAACGTTTTGATTGGCTGGTTTTTGAATTCACGATGTGTGTGACGTATTCATGTTTAGGCCAATCACACCACACATCGATAGACAATAAAAGCTGTTGAGTTCTATATTCTGTGTGTCCTAGACTAAACGTATCCACTGTTTAACTGATTTCATATTAAATAAATATTACAAACGTATTATTGCAGAAATTTATGTGAAAGAGCACAACTGCGAAATTGATGCTGAGGGCGAGGCACCCGTATTTAACCTCCGTGTCAACAGTAGGATTTAAATATTTATCCCGGGGGAGGGAAAAGCCGATAAGACGACTTAATCATATGGCAAACTACGACCTCTCACCCAGTTACTAGTCCATGACAGGTATTTTTTTTTATTGAATTTTTATAAAATAAAACAATATTGCAATAAACAATATCGATTAAAATTAAAACATCAAACAAGAAACAATACATCATTGCAATACATAACAATGTCACATTTCAGATCACTCTATACATGCCATTTTTTTTGACTTCTATAAAATAAAAAACATTATTGCAGTAAACAATATTAGGTACTAAATATTATTTAATCCTATCTATAAATCAATAACAAGTCATCCCAGACGACATTATACATATACATAAATTATTGTAACTAGTCTTTTTATTAGATTTTTATATAAACTAAAATAATATGGAAAATGAACAATATTATTCAGCAATAATGTCTGCAATTGCATGTTGCAGTTCTAATTTTTTGTTACACAATTTAATTTCACCTTGGGTAAGCTTCAAATATGGACAGGAAGTGTGTGACATGTGATGCCCATAGGTCAAGTCTAACATTATTATCGCTAGGCCAGGGTAGGGGAAGGTGGGGCACGTTGGGACACGGGGCACAGTGGAAAATCAACTCTAACACTAATACTATATTCGGAATCCGGTCCGCGGTTTGATGTTTCAATCCGCCCTTCGATGAGTTACAACGTCCCCGCAAAGGACAGCGGACGGGTAGAGCGACGCAAGCTATGAGGTGAAATCGGTTTTGGGGGGTTGAAACTAAAATTTCACCGTTCCAGTTTCTTCTTTTTTCTAACTTAGCCTTTTCAACGTGACAAACCACCGTCTGATATCTTTCAGCTATAGTCCACTGTGAAATATTTATAACGTTGGCGAGTGGATGTGCCTTCCAAATTTCGCCGTGGGATGATCCGAAAATATTTGTTTCATATGGGGAACAATGGACCGGGGTTCAGTGGGACATGCCCTACAAGGCAAAATTAGACAGTGTTTGATACAACAAGTGCTTAGAGACCTAGAGATGCGTTATATTTTTATGTAAAATTATGGTATCTTTCGACTCATGGACCAATATGAAAAATATTCGAGAATCAAAAATATTTCCAGATTTAGATTCGGATTAGAAAATAATTTAATTTGTAAGCGAATTTTTTGGTGAAATATCTGAAATATTTCGGTTGAACATTGATTTTAAAAATCTTAAATCTTTAAATTTGAGGTCTCCCTGTTCTTTAGACGATTATGCTGATTGGTTGCTTATTTTTAAGGGCATACTTCGTTGAATTTTAACAGAATGACCCATTGTGCCCCAGGGTCTGTCCGAATGTGCCCCACAAGTGGGGTACAGTGGGACACTTGACAAACGTTTTTCAAAGCATTTTGGTGGTAAGATGTGTGTCGCAAGGGAATTTCTTAGTCGCTGAATAAAAATTACATTCACCCCTCTCTGCATTAATCCCGCAAAGTCATGTGAATGTGCAGAATAAAGGGCTCAAAATATGAAAAAGAAAAAAGTGTCCCAACATGCAACAACAGGGGGGGGGGGGGGTCCTTGAGTTATGACAAACAACGGCTTGACAATTGCAAGGGATTGAAACGCTGCCTAATCCAGAAACTGATCCTGGCACGTACGATGTTTAGAAAAATAAGTTTTTTTTTTACACTGAAAGAGATTAATAAACTCCTAACCCAAAATAGCTGCAAAGTGTAACACTGCCGGTATTTTCATCATATACTGGTTCCGTACGTTTATTAGGTACTGTAGTGAGGATTTGTGCAATTAACGGGAATTTAAGTGTGCGGTAACATATTCCAAACCTATTGTTCTGGATCCCAGACGAATAAGGACGCTTCTTTGCACATTTTCGGGTAAAATGTGAATTCCCCAGTTCCTCCCCCCCCCTATGTATGTAAAAAGAGATTATTTTCTGTACATTCCATATTATTTTCAAGAAAACAGAAAAAACAGCTAACGAAAACAGAAGCAGAAAAGCTGCCATTATTGGAAAATAGGGAGGAGGCTGGTGAAGTGTATTATTCATCTGCAGTGATTATTTATAGTAAAGAAGACACCTTCCTATGTTCTGGGTGTAACAGCTCGCCCTAAATGAAGAAAACCTCATTTCTGAGCAATGTTACTGGCAACCGCCACAGGACAAGCACTTATAGACACTCACTGAGAAGTAAAAGACACTTATCTTGAAGAAAAAACTAAGGTGCCAGGAGGTCTTAAACCATTTCATAAAATACAAACATCCAAATTTGCTGGCAAAATACAGAATAATTGGACGAACTGACTGGTAACACCCCTATGCCCCCTCCCTCAACCCAATAATGGAGACACCCACTGAAGAGAGACAGAACAAAGCAGGACTGTGGAGTCGGAGTCATGTTGTCAACTCCCTTACATCATTCCCCCAAACCCCTCACCCTGGCTCAGAAATTCAATTTTGAATTGCCCAGAGTCGAAATATGATACACTTATAGTGATAGTCAGTAAATTTTAGTGAAAACAAATGGTAAAAATTTTGTACAGAAACGCGGAGCATTCATATACATACAAGGCGGTTCGCCTATGTCAAAGTTTTCGTAATTAAAATTTGATTTTCTCAAGAGTCGCTGTCAAAATATTTTTAACTCATAGTCCATAGTTCTATTTTTCAAACAAAATTTCTTTACCAAGCGTTCCCAACAATCTATTCAAGAACGTTTGTTTACATTATGTCAAAAATTAAATTTTTTCAAGGGCCACAGTCAAATTTTTTTTTCAACTCCGGGGCCGCAGACATAATTTTTTTAACCCAAAGCGGGTAAATTTTCCCCCGACTTCACAGCCCTGGAACAAAGGGCAGCAAGAAGGAAATAATGACGATACTTATATATATCTCGGAACTCAAATATTTTAAAGAAAAATGAAAGTTCTGTAAGTGCAAGGAAGCTGAAAACAGACAGCTGTGACACAAATCATTTAAAAAAACTGCCCCAAAAAGGCGTAAATTGTACTTATCTTAGAAACAATTAGGAACATAACCTTAATTACTGATAAATTCATTGAATGAAAGGTAGTCTAGTTAACTTTTGCACAAACTCTCCCCCAATGTATTGTGGATAATGAGAAACATACATACATGAAAATAGTTGGGGATACTGCAGTTTTGGTCATAAAAAAACAATGTGGCCTTTTTCTCTTGAGATAGGCTCCGGGCAAGCAGCCACAGAGACTCGATGGCAATGTTATTGGAAACAACGAAATCACCAGGCAAGTAAGTGATCCGTACATAAAAATAACACATATCGAATGTGCTTAAATGATTCAAAATCAGATTTTCAGAATATATATAGCAAATCTTCTTAATCCAGCAATTGAGTTAAATTTTAGGTGTAAGTTTGGTTAATAAAATGCGCATAGTGTGAGGTGGACCAGGTATTTTCTGACTTAACAATTATAGACAACACACATAAAAACATTCATGATATATAATAAACATTAAAGATAGATAGTTTCACCAAACATGCAGTACTATGGTGTTTTCTGGATTATAATTGAGTTATATATACAATTCTTGAATGGCCATGTATAACTCATGAATGGAAGGATCATAATATCTTCGAAAATGACAAAAATTATTATATAAAATTTTCATACCGCATAAACTCAAATCTAAAGCTGCATTCCCACGAAAAGTTTTTATGGGATCATAATATTCAAGGATGAAGTTTTTTTAGGATAAAACTTGGATGCCATAACATTACAAAAACTTTCTCAAATATTCCAGAAACCACTTTATTGAACCACTAAACACTGAGTGAGAATTATTCAGGGATTGAGCAAATAGCAGGGTTCTTATGCGTAATAGACAGGATAAGATTTACATATTTATTTCGGGGGAGAGGAAATCCGATAATACGGCTTAATCACACGACGAACCACAGCCTCTCGTCCGGTTACCATTCCATGTCAGGTATGGCAATAGTCAGCCAGTTATTTGTTTTATATGCATGAATTTAAATGTAGGAGGATTATATCAGAGAAGGTTGGGAGCCAATGTCGCATTATGATCAATCTATCCATGGGTCATACTAGGCGTAAGAAATTGTCAATCGAAGTCTTTAAGCTCTATGGCCGCCGCCACCAGGTTGGATTGCATCAAGAGCCCGGGGAATGTCGTAGTTGTGCGCCTCCAATAAACGAGAGAGCCAACCGCCTTCATCTGAAAATCCCATTGCGAACATCTGCTTCAGAGCGACTGCCAGACGTGGATCTAAAAAAAAAGAGCTGCTATAAGATTTGGATCAAAAAAGGCCCCAAGCTTCAAAATTGTAAGAATTATTGATAAAAGGGCGCTCCAGAAGCATGTGTACCAATATGGAGGTAACTACCGTAATTTTGTTCGCCTAATTCACATCAAGTTGTGTAAAGGGACTGAAACTCATGGGCAGGGGGTAAATTCGCTTGGCTAACACAGACAGTTCCCGAACTCGTAATAGAACTAAAATATTCTCTGTTCAACCGGAAAGCATGAGAAGAATCGGAATAAAATTATGGCCTAATCCGAAGCCCTCAACCAAAAGTAGAATGAGTACTGATAGAAGAAATGCAGGTTTGCTCAAGGTAAGGTCTCGAGCCCTAAACTAAAATTGGAAAGATTTTTGATAGAAGAGTGCAAGCAAGTTTGCTCAATGCAAGGTCCCGAAACCTCAACTAAAGGTATGAAGATTACAGATAGAAGAGTTGGAAGTTTGCTCAAGGCAAGCTATTGATTGAGCGCGCCCCACAGGGGGAGGCGTGGAGAGTTTTTTTGAGGGGGCATGAAGCGAATTAAAAATAAAAATATTTGTTAGGTTTGATCTTGCCTACCATATTTGGGTTATTAACATTTCTTTATATTGAATATTTACGTTTATTCACGTTTCATCCACATATTTTCGAGGTGTCTTTTAAACAAAACATACTTTCACCTTACTATCTGTTATTTTCAGCTTATTGTTATCTAGTTTTTTTTAGGTTGGGCGCAAGACTTGACAAATTCTAAAAAGGGGCCTAATGGCCTTTCTTCTCCCCAGGTTAGATATGTGAAATCCTGTAAATACATACCGATATTACTTGGTGAGTCAACATGCATTGTTTCAAGTTTCTCAGAAGCTAAAATGAAAAAAAAGGTTGAATAAAATACCAATGAAGTGTGACCTGGCAGCAATAACCCCAACTGTTTAGAATGAAATTATTCTGACCGAATGAATAATTAAGCATTAATAACATTATCTATCGTGTTTGAAAACATGTTCATGGGCCATATTGTCGGTTTAGTTTATAACTGTGCCAACAAATGCTGGGCTTCAATTCACTAAAACAATAGCAGCACCTCAATATAATAACCTTGTGCTTGATAATTTTCCTTGCTACAGGGCAGGGCTACTCAACTGGCGGACTGCGGTCCGAATGCAGACCATCTGGATATTCGATTCGGACCGCGCCTAATCTTTATTTTGGATCATTAGCTCCACTTTAGCATTTTTCTATATAAAATCACTTTTAAAGATTTAAATATATATAAAAAGAACTATAACGCCATAATAAACAATCTTGATCAGCTAATAATTCATTAGTCGGCCGAAGAAGTGCGTGTTTAAAGATGCCAAGATATAATTTCTGGGAAGACCGGACCCAAATATTTTTGAAGTTTTGTATGCGGATCTTCGGTAAGATAGTTGAGTAGCCATGCTATAGGGCCTATGTATATATATTTGCTAGTGTACAAAATATTAACGCGTATATTCCTGGTCAAACAATCATGCCCTACTGACAGTGTTAACATAGGATTGAAAAAATTACCTGTCTGCATCTCTGAGTCATCTTCATCTTGCACAACTGTCCAATCAGCTTCATTCGGTGGGGTTGTAGAACTTTCCGGTGCAGAGGCTGTTTTGTAAAAAACATGGTTAGATGGGACTTGCTATCAAGGATGGAATAGGATTTACATACTTAATCCGGGGGAGAGGAAAACCGATAAGACAGCCTCTTGTCCGCTTACCAGTGCATTTCGGCTATGGGCTTAGTTGTATATTTGTTTTTGGGAGCAAGGATTCGATAGTGAAAGAAGCCGTAAATCGACCACTAAGAGTCCAGCAATCCCCTTGCACATAACTATTCCCGCATGGGATTCAAACCTGCGAACTCGCGCAAGGTAAACAGAGGTGAAGTGGTGAGCATATTCCTAACACTATCACAATTTCCACACCGCCAAGCCATGCAGTGGAGTTGGAGATAATATACTTTAAAATTAACCCCAACTTTAAATTAAAAAAGAATAGACTTCGACTTTGGGTTACTGAAAAGTCCGGCTGCAAACTAAAACAAAATCAAAATTTCCATAACAAGGATTCATCTTTGATAGACCGTTAAGAATGCTTGGTAAAATGAATGCTTTTTAGTTACTTTCGTGACTACTGTGTTTCTGAAATTGGGGCATTCAGAACTTGGACTCTGAATCCAAGTCATTTAAAAATATCTCCAAGCAATCACTCAAGTAACAAGAGCTATAGAGACTTTCAACCTCATCATTTGTTGTCAAGTTAAAATGTCCAGAGAGTTCAAAGGTCACTTACGTTCGGTTGTCTTTGGTGGAGTCTCTTGCGAAGACGCAGGCTGCTCGTCTCCACACCTCATCTTCTCCTCGTCCTCTTTTTGTTTCTTTTTTATCTCACTCTCGGCGCATTTTGTTCTCTTTCCATGGTGTTCAACATCTATGTCTACATCAATTCCCAGTGGTTTCAAAAATCCAGCGACGGCTTCACCGACAGAGCTTAAGTATGCTTGTGCTGTTTTGATAAAAATATATTTTGACTTAGTGGTTAAAACTTTTAATTTTTTACTATGCCGGCATCGCATGTAAAAAATCCCCACCGCGTAAGTGTTTTTCTAGAAAAGATGGTTAATGATGGTTTCTGAACCCAATGGTTGAAATGTCAGTTTAAATATCTAAGCTTCAAAACTCATGCCCCAGGACAGTGGTTCCCAACCTTTTAGGGCTTGTGGCCCACTTCCGAAAGGCTTTCAGCACTCATGGCCCCCTTGTTTATCATTCCAGTAGTATTTATAGTGTTATTTTGATTGACAGATTCCAAGCCCCATTATGTTCAAACAATCCATGCTCTACGAAGCAAAAACACTCTATGAAATGACCTTATCAAGCGATGAAACTAGGAACAACGGGGAGTTTTCCTGTAAGGGGAAAAGTGGAAATCACTTTTGCACCTTGCATTGTGCCCCCACCCCTTCAACTGCTCTGTGGCCCCATTGAGGGCCCCCGTTGCAGGCCCCCAGTTGGGAATTGCTGCCCCAGGGTGTAATACATGGGGTGGTGTTTGCATTGACAAACTGTAAATGCCGAGTCGACCTTTACTGATACAGTAGCTGCTAGTTCTGAGTGAAGACGTTGCACTAACAGAGGGCCAAATCAACAGATTCCACTTCTTTGTGGCTAAACATACAGATAAAACCAACCCCTCTATTCAAGCGTAACGACCTTTGACCTCTGCTTGAATTATATAGTATTATCCTATGTATCTTACCTGTTTCACTAGCAGATCCCTGTGATTGTTCTTGGTGCTGTGTGTTTCCATCAGGGCTGGAAGATGAGCTTGCTTCAGCTCCTGGGGTCTGAGATTGGGCCTGAAATGAGAGACAATATTGTTATGGACTGCAGACGTCCCTAAACCTCGGGTCAACAGTCATTTGAGTCTCGAGTCTAGCAAGTCTCTAGCTCATCATTGATGACGAGTCTGAGTCAATCTTAACTATTTTCACACATAAGTGGTAACTGTTTTAAGGTTTATTCTGAAATCCATGTTAAGATGAAACCAACTGTTGATGACATAATATGATTAAGAGCATAGCTGGCCATATCAAAAATCATCTTGTCAGCCTTTCTCTCCCTCAGTTCAAATATGAAATCCTATCTCAAAAGAACGTACCTGTGCATGACAGCCAGGTGCTTGCTGACCCCAAGGGCCAAACCCCCATGGGTGGGGGTGTGGTGGGGGCGCGAACCCAAACTGTCCCTGCCATTGATGTGGAGGAGGTCCATGAGGAGGGGGTGGAGGATGATGAGGTCCATGGGGACGTGGGGGGAACCCAAAACGTCCTTGATCATGGGGGTAATGGCCATGCCCAAACTGTTTCGCAAATTTCTTCCATCCTTTGCAGAAATCCTCTCCTGTAGCTGAAAAAGGAATTTAATGTTGAAAATATATTTCAATATTTTTGGGTTTTCTCCACAAGTAAGGCTCTTACCGGTACCTAAAAATCTTCAGAAACATTCGAAAATATAATTTTGTAATATCGAAGATAACAAACAATCAAAGTGCCGATTCTATTTATTCGTCATTACAATACATGAAAAAGCGCAGAAAATTGTTTGAAGATTTCCCTCGAAAACGAATCACGTAGCTGGCAGCGAAAAGTGGCGATCATTTGGAATAATCTAAAATTTGCTGAAAAAGTATTCAAATACTTCGATATTCAGTTTTAAACAACCCTGTCTAGGCATGAGCGAAATTTTAAAAAGTAATTACCATTTTCGCCGTTGTTTCCATCTTTTTTAACCTGAAAATGAGATAAACAAAGTTTAAAAAACAATTGAAGCAGATTTAGGATTAAAAAAATAGAATAATGCAATTGAAATGCTGCCCAGTCATGGTTGATTTATTTATTAGGTCAGAATGAAACAGAATCATATTAGAAGATATATCTATATTCATCCTTGCAAGAATATACAGAGTTTCCATGAAGTCCCTTCACAATTTCAATTTTGTCATGAAGTCAGTCCTCAATATTTATTGACCAGGTTTGTTGTTTTTCAATCAGCAATTGTTCAAGTATTTTTACTTCATTTATTACCACGTGAGGTCCAAAACAATATATGGTATCGATATATTTCCTTTGTAATTTTAAAAAATTTCAAGACTTTAGAGAAACCCTATATATGAGGATTCACTGGTCAGAATAACCTTACACTATCTATACAGTACAAATGCTGCCCAGTCATGCTTGACTAATTATTATGCCGGTATAAAGTATAATCTTATATAGGAGCTCAGTGGCGTAGCCAGAAAATTTCAAAGGGGGGGTTCTGCAATATCTGTTTGTCAAGTTAGATTGAAACAGCTAGCGGGGCCGGTCAAACGCCGGAAAATGTGTGTTTTTACGAGTATTGAAGGTGTAAAAAGCATTTCAAGCTACGATAAATCGCTATGTATGATATGCTTTTTTTTTTACTTTTCAAAAGGGGGGGAGTTTCGACACCCCCCCTGTAGCAGCTACATACCTTCACGAACAGACGGAACAATCCATCGTTTATTTGACCAAGAGCCTGCATCAATTCTTCATCAGAACTGAAGGAAATGAAATCCTCTTCAGCATCTTTGTAATGCAGAGTGAACGCCTCACCGATGTTAGGGAACACTGAAGAAACCTGTTAACATATTGAAAAGTGTTGAAAAAGAACTTTATCCTTGGTTACGCAAAACAAGCATGCGAGACCAGTACAACACAATACAGGGAGTCCTCGACTTACAACGTTGTTCCGTTCTTGAGACGCGGTGTAACCCGAATTTCAGTGTAAGTCGGAACATTATATATAAATTACTCTATACATATCGTACTGTATTGTAAAGTATGGTACTGAAATAAAATGTACTAATAATGCAAAAATAGTACTTTATTAGAAAAACAGAAAACATATCAGATGAATAGAAGCAAATACAGTACAGTATTAATAAGATGGTGGAGAAGTTCGAGTAGTAGAGGCAGCTGAGGTAGATGGTAGAGGCTCTGTAGTAATTAGTATTATCTTTTATATTTTTATGGATTGCGTTTGTGCGAGGACTTACTGTACTCCGATTCCAAGAAAACCATCCACATTAAAAGACATCAAATATAACTGTGAGTGCAAACCCCACCTTTACAAGACAGTCAGGGCCTCCTCGGCGTAATCTAAATTTGCCACCACTGAGAAAAAAATTGATCTGGTATACCGAAAAATGAAAAGTCTTACTGTAGCATTCAAGAGTGCAGTCAAAAAACGCAAATTTGGTCACATGACGGCTACAATTCATTTATATTATTATGCAGACAAGCATGGCGCAATTTGACGCTTATGTGTTTGTTTTATAGAACTAACTTTCGGGTCATCTTGGAATTGGAGAACTGTGCCAACTGAATTGCAAGCTGTAACTGCCTTTTTTACAAATAAGGTAAAAAAATATATAATGACCCAATTAACAGATAAATGACAAGGCTACACAGGGCTATTTAACAAATTGTTCACTTCGCTCCAGCTGAAAGATGTTCCCACTCCCAGATCCCCAAATGTTCCCAGATGTTTTGTAGAATATATTTTTTATAAATTTGTCAAATTCCATGTCAGTACCAGTCAGTTGCAAGAGCATTACTGAATTTGTCGCTGCTGTAGGGTGGTTTACATAAATGCTGGTATGCGCCGGCTTTATCCACCATCAAATTCATGTATTTAATCCCAAGTTTTTCTTACCTTGTTCTTCAAATAGTCATAGCTTGACGAGACGTCTGTATCAATCGTGAAACGACGAATTTCCTTCACATTGTTCGGATTCCCTTTTATAAGGTATGCTTTATATTGTAGAGACATTATTCTTTTCTAAATAACGCTTTCAATTCGTACTTAATCGTAAAGTATTGTATCCTAAAGCTATATCAGAATATTGAAAGGAAAAGAAGATTTGAATGCATGTAGATGTAGGTATAATATTGTAATAACTGATCAGACCGCCGTCGGGTGCGGACGTGAAATATCGACGGTGGAATAGCTACTGGAATAAGAAATATTTGGACGAAAACTTGGAAAGCCGGACGAATATAAACCCTACTGAGAAGATACATACAAACTTAAATCAAAACGATGCTGTTGGATATAGTACCGAAACGATAAGGATCAGTTCACATCAGATCATGCTGCCTGCGTGGAGTTTATCATGGAGAATGAAGCTCGGAATAACACGAACAGTCAAAGTCAAATGTAACGGATATTTGATGATGGATTCCATAAATAAGACTAGCCTACTTACACAAAGCACATGAATTTTGATTAAAACTAAAGTTGGAACGCCAGGGCGTGGAATTCTTTTGTCATATTTTACTTGGTTTGTTGTTGTTTACTTTTACGCTGCTTTTATTATTGTTGTTTATCGTCCGGAATTAGTTGAGTGCATTTGTAATCAAATAAATTTTATCACATATTGCGCACCGTTTGTTTGTTTGTTGTGTTTTACAATTCTCGCTAGTCCCTTGTACAGATATAGTAGAAATTACACTCCATGTTGAAACTCCACATCCACAGTCAAGTATTTACGTCCGGATTATTTTTCGTGTCTCTCTTTTTTTTTAAATTTACTTCAATGTGTTGTTTGCTGCGTGGGGTAAGTGGGCACGTGCACCAGCACGTCTTGAATCTTTTTTAGATTTTGCCCACTTTCCTGATTTTCCGTACATTTGTTTGTTTTGCCCTGTTTTGCCTATTTGTTATGTTGTAACGGAAAATTGAAATAAACACTTACTTACACTTACTTAATCGGATTTTTGTAAACTCTGAAATTAATCCAGGAGAGGAAAGGTGAAAAATGCTCTACTCACAGAATTTAGGAATTACCTTGCTCTGCAAACCACTTTTTAATAGTTCAGTAATCAGTATTTCATCATCATGATAATACATTTTGTAGGAACAAAATAAAAAGTTAATACCTTACATCAGTATAAAAACTGCTTATTACATTTCAACATTATTATCTTGACTCCGTAACCTGGTAACTGCAAATTTATAATAGTATAAGATCTAAATAAACGTATTCAAGTACCGGTACTCTAGTTGTCTACAACAATGACGACGGAAAGATCAGGAAAATGGGCAAAACTAAGATAAAGGTTTATACTGTTATAGCAAACACTGTCTGACTGTAACCAGCGTTTGTGCCAATTCACCAACACAAATAGAAAAACATCAATCACACTACAGTACTAGAATAAATTAATGAACACCGTACATAAACACCAAGAAAATAAAATTCACGGTTGAAGCCTATTTCTGTATTTGTAAAATTTGGATGAGTGAAATTCGTGAAGAATAAAAACAATTAGAGGTTATGTGACGGCGCCTGTGCCGAAATGCCAATACCAATATTAAAATTTATCCCAATTAGGATAAATGTTATTAATGGTATTGACATTTCGGCACAGGCGCCGTCACATTCAATGTCAATGCCAGAATGCCGAAATGCCAATACCAAAATAACATTTAATTGGTTAGCTGCAAAAATATATATTCTAAAATCAAAATATTTGACTTCAATATGGCAAAACAACGCAACGCAGTGTCTCGTCAACAAATATTTTCAAGACTATGCCTCGGGCCAACAGAAGTCACGCGAATTTATATCCAAAATAACTCTTTCTAGAACGTTCTTTGTCAGTGATTCAGCAAAACATGGAGGCCGCCATCTTTGTTTGGATTGCAACACGTGATCACGTGACGATGACTATTCTTTGTTTCTTTATTATATTTGCAGACGTGTAATTTGAGATATCTCGTGACCAGGGGATTCACCGGAATTATCACTGTGTTATGGTCGCGCGGTGGTTTGTAATGTTTGATATATTAGTAATTTCTTTTTCTAGAACATTCATAAGAGTTTAATTTTGCGTTTTCATAGAAAAATATGGTGTAATACAAACGCGTGAGTCATTTTGCTGTAGTAAAGGTGGCCTGGCGTTAGTTTGCATGACCTATTGATGACCTGAAATACTTCAAATATGGTTCCATTATCTTTGAACCCGCGTTCAGGTCATCAATAGGTCATGCAAACTAACGCCAGGCCACCTTTACTACAGCAAAATGACTCACGCGTTTGTATTACACCATATTTTTCTATGAAAACGCAAAATTAAACTCTTATGAATGTTCTAGAAAAAGAAATTACTAATATATCAAACATTACAAACCGGTTCCATTATCTTTGAACCCGCGTACATTTGAACCCGTACATCTGAACCCGTAATTTGAACCCAGGACAATTGCACCTGTATACTATTGCACCTATGGACATTTGCACCTACGGACATTTGAACCCATACATTTCCACCCATGGATTTTAGCACCCGCATATAGATTGAACCCGCACACATTTGAACCCGTGTACGTTTGCACCCGCGTACATTTGAACCCATGTACATTTGCACCCGCGGACATTCGAACCCGTGTACGTTTGCACCCGCGTACATTTGAACCCATGTACATTTGCACCCGCGGACATTTGAACCCACGAACATTTGCACCCGCGGACATTTGAACCCATGTATATTTCCACCCACAGACATTTGAACCCACGTATATTTGAACCCGCGTACATTTGAACCCACGGACATTTGAACCCGCGTATATTTGAACCAACGTATATTATATTTGAACTCGCTTAATTTGAACCCGCGTACATTTGAACCCACGTACATTTTCACAAAAAATGTTTGCCCCAACGGCAATTTCCAGTCGCAAATAATTTTCATGTTACAGGCGCAAGCTCAATATTCTAAATTTCAACACTGTTTCACTTGTAGTTAATTTTGGTGTATATGCATTTATCCGCTTCTACGAAGCAAGCATTTTTGAGTGTCATTGTAGTCCGAGGGATAAACGTCTCTTAACGATATAAACAACATTGTTCTGCCAACATTTTTTCTTTTGCTGTTTTTTTACATTGACATTTGTAAAACCTTATTTCATTCGTTAGCCGCAATCTCCAAAACAGACGATGACCTAGAAAGCGGTATTTCGTTGAAATACCTGAAACCAGGGCTAATACGGAACAAATATCTCACAGACCAATGAAGTCTTAAATGAGGGTCTTACTAAAACTAGCTTTACAGTAATATTTTTAGTGGTCAACTCCTATAAATTTGTTCTGGAATTATTGCACCGAAAACGCCTACTATGATATCCCGCCCAGCATGAGATTTGGGAGCTCTGTGGCCACTTCATGTTTTCTTGCTAGCATGTTTACAAAATTGTTATATGTATGCATACACGACCACGCTTCACTGTTGAAAATGAGTGTTGTCTCAAATCAGGTTTTGACATTTTTCCTAAAATCAATCTATAAATTGAATACTATTGTCTGTATATAAATAAATAAACTCACAGATTTTTCGTTTCTAAGAAAATATGAAATTAAGATAATGAAACTATGCCATTTTTGTAACAACATGTTCATAGCCAAATGCCAGTTTTATTGAAGTATTGTTTCATTAGAATGTCAGAACAAAACTATACATAGAAATCGTAAGTCATGTAAATATGTTGAATATTCGAAAGTGAAGAAGTTTAAAATCATTATCGTGGCCAAAAATGTTTTTTGCTGTTTACACTATTTAGAGTGAATCGAACATATTCAGCATATAGGGTCTGTTAAATATGATATTGCAATTTACAAATGACGTCATAGGTTACGGATTACATTTATTTTAATATCTCAATAAAGTTATCACTCACAAATTTGTGTCGAATGGGCGATCAATTTTGAGATAGAGTAGCTATGGACGTTTTACAAAATAGGAATTTATCAATTATGATACAATAGTTAAACAACAAATCAAAGTAATGACGATAAACGAAATTTTACGATATCACGATCAAAATCAAAAAGACTGCATTTGAGCTATTGAGTGGAGATACCTCAGCTTGTCGGTTTCAGTTCCATATGAAAAAACTTAACTGTCAACCTAACGGCAAGTTGTACATACTTTGATCTTTGGTGGGCCGTAACTCCTACATGAGCATTTGCCGCAATCAGTTTGTGGACCGCAATGTCTTTTCGTAGGCCATTCAGCAAACCCCATATATATACTCGGATGTTTGCATTGGAACATTCCTTGTAAGGCGTTGTGAAATCCTTCTACAGCGTTTGTTGTTCTTGGGGCCGAAGGCACCATTTCAATCTCTTTGGCATAGTTCCACAATCGAGGGGAAAATCTTGTTTCTCTTGGACGTGAACCCACTTGAGGTCACGAATGTAGGTAGATTCAAAATATTGCAAAAGTTGATTGCATTCGGGCAAATCTTCAAAGGTGTCGCAAAGCAAGGGGAAGACTTCGGCAACCTCGTTAATGATGGGAACAAAAGCCAGAGCTGCCAAACTTCTAATTTTCAGATTGAAAGAAGGTAAACATTCAAACTTCTCTTTTAATCCGATAGAACCAACTTTTCGAAATAGCTTGTGACAGGTGAAAATAACATTCTTTAAAATCGGCCAGAGGAAAATGTGCATGGAATGCATTGATAGCTGCTATTTCAAAATCAACAATGATTTTGGTGGGGTTAGCATTTGGGAAAATGATTTTCAACGCTTCCAACATCTGAACGTATGTTTCTTGTCGCTTGTCTCGTAATAGGAAATATACTCATGGTGGATAGGATGCGCCCACTTTACAGTGAATTGTATACAACTGGAAGAAAATATCGGGCACCACATCAAATGTACCGTCGCCAAGATATGGGTCACTATCTAGATGTGCAAGTAGTGATCGATCTCCAATGGCCATTATCCGATGACGATCCTCCGAGCCAGTGTCATGCAACATGATATCTAAATATTCGCTCGGAATATCAAAGCTTGCACTTTTAGGATTCGTACGTGAACAATTTTTCTGTCGCCTTACTCTGCGTATATTGGCCT